CTAGGGAGGCCCCGAGACTGATGGTCTGAGAGGCCCTTTTATTTATACTGTCCACAGGAGCCCCCTGAGATTAATAGTCTGAGAGGCTCTTCTATTTATACTAACCAGAGGAGGCCCCTAGGATTGATGGTCTAACAGGCCCTTCGATTTATACTAGCCAGAGGAGGCCCATGAGACTGATGGTCTGAGAGGCCCTTCTATTCAAACTAGGCAGATGAGGCCACTGAGAATGATAGTCCGAAGAGCCATGCGGCGGCAACTGGCCGTGGCCATATTTCGGCTCGGTAGGGTCCCACAGAGCTCATGAGAGCACCTCAAGGGCTCCTAAGTAGACACGCTTATCCCCATAAGGGTGCCACGCCGGCTTCTGAAGGCTCCTTGTAGGCATCTAAGGGCCCTTTCCGGCCTCTAACGGCTCCACCCGCCTGTGATGGCTCCACACAAGTGTTTATGAGCGCCACACAGCGGCGCCTTTGAGGGTCATACTAGTGTCTCTTAGGGCCCTATATCGGTGGCTCTGGGGGCCCCACACCGGCGCCTCTGTGGGCCACCACACGTGTGCATCTAAAGGCTCTATAGGTACAGGTCTCGCGGGTTTTAGCGGTAGGTTTTGCACCTAGAAAATTTAGTGTACTTCAGGCTATATCTTCGTCGTCTTAAGCTTTTAAGTATTGAAGATGCGATCGACTTGTTGGGTAACAAGCCGGCCATGATCGTGTAAAATGGCTTCATCGTAGATCGATTAGCTTCTGAGATATAACCGGAAATGTAAAAGTGCAAAACCTACCGCTTAATCTCGCGAGACCTGTACATCTGAAGGACCCACACCGACACCTCTGAGGGCCCCACACCAGTATCTCGGAGCTCTGAAGGCCCCACACCGGTGACTCTGAGGACTCACCGGCTCCTGAGAGCACCATGTTGATGTCTAAAGGCTCCACAAGGCCACTGAAGGCACCACACAAGCTCTCACTAAGCTCTTATGTCCATGTAAAGTCGACTACAGAATGATGTTCCACTTTTCACAGGCAATTATTTGCCTGGAGTGGTAGGCTGTGCCGCATCACACGGGCTGAGTTCACAAATTATAGCTTTGTCCCCATGCTCACAATCGACACGCTTAATTGCGTGATAAACGGCACAACTTAGCGCTCCGGTCAACTGATAGCTTCTCAGGAGTGGAACATCATTCTGTAGTCGACTATACAGGGATTTAAGCCAGCGCATTCATAGCTCCACGCCAGCAATTGTAAGGGCTTCACACTGAAGTATCTGAGGGTTCCACGTCGGTGTCTCTAAGGGCCACATACCGGCATCTCTGAGGGCCCCATACCGGCGTCTCCGAGGGTCCACATCTGGCGGGCACCCATTAGCGACTGAAGGTCCCACACTGTCGACTCAGAGAGCCCCATCTGCGTCTGGGAGCACCATGCCGTCTCTACGAACCACAGCGGCTCCTCCGTACGAAAGATGGGCATCTGCATGCCAAAGGGGAGCGGTTCTGAGACAGTAGGGCACCTACGTGCAATAGAGGGGCGCCTCAATGCGAAAGAGGGGCGCCTCTGAGGCCTACATATACGGGCGTCCACATGCAATAGAGGTCTGCAATCACGGGTGGAGAATGTTTGAAAAAGTTACCCCGGCCGGCGACCGAAAGTCAGAAAGACGATGATGCTCAAATATGTGTCAACGGTTATCAACAACCCCCTATTCTGTGGCATAGAATAATGGATATCTGCCGTTTGTACGTTTTTAGGGAAAACTGCTGCACGCAGGTGCGGAGGATTTCGTAATTGTAACAACAATTTTGCAACACGCCTTAAAATTTCGGACGCATGTCACCTAGTGCTAGGTCAGGTCATCAGGTCAAATTTGCTGGATGATCGTGCTAAAAATGCCATCATGCCCTTTGCAAAGCTGGAAGTTGCAACCTTCCCACACAAAACAAAATGTCAAATTTGACCGTTTTGACCCTCTTATTGATTTGAGCTCGCAACCTGAAATAGTTATTATTCGCGACCGAACCTTAAACGAGTAGTCGAATGTTTTGTTGGCAGTGCTCCGTTATGTTCATGAACTGTGAGAAAAATTGTCGGATAACGCTAAAATCAGAGAAATTTGGCTTTTGATGACCTATGGTGATTTCACTATTGAGCTTGCCTAAAACATGACCAGATTTCTCTGATCACGTTTGTCGCTCTTTCAAACGTCGTTCCGCTTCTCGCCTCGTAGCCCAGTAGCCGAGTTAGATGGAGCGTGAAAAGCCCACCTCTCGACTCAACGTGTTACGATAAGGCCACCACCCTGGCGCGGGTTAACCCGCGCGGGGCTGGGGTCTCCAGCCGAACGCGCGGGGCTGGGGGGGGGGGTAAATTTTACCCCCCCCTGTTATCTCCCAAACTAATGGTCCGATTTGGAAAATTCAAACGCCAATCGAAAGCTCTCATCACGAACTACTAAAAACATGTACTTAATTTAAAGTTTGAGGTCAAGGTCAAGGTCAGGTCAAGGGTACAAATTGCAAGTTTCTACAGTATCGGCCTTGCACCGTAGTTGCCGAAGAATGGAGTCATGGACTGAGACTGATCGCCCAAAACGTGTTCTTAGGCTACCAAGACAATATTCGTTGCATACAATATCATTCAGAGGTCAAGGTCAAGGTCAGGTCAGGTCAGGTCAGGTCACCAAAAAACAAAATATAGAAAAGGGCATGTGTGACACATATTTTATGGGTCATTTTACTCATAGAATTCAATAGGCACACTCAATAAGTGATATGGACCACCTCTGGATGAATTTCAGGTCGAGGTCAGGTCAAGGTCAGGTCAAGTGAGGTCAAATTTTGAAGTTGGTTGTTAAGGCCTAAAAAGGTGTCTATCTGATGCAGTTTTTCACGGCGAATCGAATGGTGCTATTTTTGTTTCCGTACGAGGTCTAGAACTTCCAAAAAAGTCATTTTTCAAAAAATTGTGTGTCGTGACGTCATAAAATTTTGAATAACTCCCACATTTTTGAACCGATTCTTCTAAAATTTGGTATGTTGGTGCACATAGACCACTTCTCTGACATATATTCCGGTTTTTTCGATAGACTCAAAATTTTGGATTTTATAATGATTTTCCCAAAAAAGTCAGTTTTTTGAAAAAATTTAGGCCAAAATCCAAAATTTTCAAAAAACCGAGATAGCCATTTGATAGACAAAGTAAAATTACATATAACCTTTTTTGTTACGTCTTGATTCCTTTAAAAATGAAGATGTTAGCGGCGTTTGAACTTTTGCCGTTTTTGAGGCGAAAATGGCGAACATGACGTCACTAAAACGTCAATTTCTCAAAAATTTTCCGACGGATTTCGCTCAAATTTTCAGGGAACGTGTCAAATTGATGTAAAAAAGGTACTGAAAGTTTGGCGGCGCTGCGCGCCGCCGTTTTTGAGATATCGCAAAAATTCGCGAGGGGGGGTAAAATTTACCCCCCCCCCCCCCAGCCCCGCGCGGGTTAAGTTGGGTGAGCCTTGAGCCCCAGCAGCTCGTCCTTCTATCTCACTGATATTACCCTCGTCCTGTCTTGTGATGTTATTACAGTGCCATCTTAGGCCGAATGTGATTTACTTCCATGTTTGATGAAACATGTCGGGCTCCGTGATAAAAGACCTAAAAACATAGAAGCTCCAAAATGAAAATAAAGTAAATTTTCAAGAATTTTTCAAGGTAGATAAGAATAATGAGAGACGCTTTTATAGATGGCAGTTTTTTCGTATGGAGACAGCTTTTAGGATTTACAAAAGTGGAAAAAGTTACCCCGGCCGCGCCGGGTCGGCTGAAAGTTACCCCGGCCACGGCCGGAGTGGCCGGGGCAGGTTCTCCACCCATGTCTGCAATTGATCAATGCCATGGGGGTGCATTCATAAGAAACAGGGGCGCCGGCATGGCAAAGAGAGGCGCCTTCAAGTGTCCATAAAAGAGAGACGCCTATGATAAGCGCACATTGTATGCGACAACGGGGCGACTGTGGGACATCTAGTGATGTCTCTGATGACTATACATAGGGCGCTTATATGCCAAAGAGGGCGCCTATGAAGCTAATGGGGGCACCTGGGAAACGAGGAAGACATTTGTGTAAGGGTTTTCAGGGGTCATGCGCCGTTTGCGGCAAATGGATTCTAAAAAATCGGAGGGGGAATAAGTTTTAAAAATGGTGCGGACTTTCCGCACTGTTCCCTTAAGCGGTTACGCCCCTGGGTACATCTGCCCGATCTCAGAAGCTAGATTTGGAGGTCATACTTGAAAGCAGCCAGCAGGACGAGACAAAAGTTGGAGGCCCCTGAAAATAGGAGGCCCCCTGGAAAAGGAGGCCCCTTGACAGGGTGGCCCTCCCACTTTTCATGACGTTCCTACGCCCGTGATAATTTACCTTGAGCTCGTGCAGTCACTCGTGTTCCCATAAACTGCTGAAAACGAATGTGCCCCATGCACGAATGTGCCCCACTCTCCCCTAAGGCTCGGGCTCTACGAAGCCTATAAAAATGACACCAATGATAGGAATACTTCAATCTTCCTGTGTAAAGCGCATTGGATATTGCTTCAATTCACCTAAAACATGGTTTTGCTAGAATTCATACCGTTTTATAGCTAAAAGTTGAACAATTTTTTCATTGTTGTTGTCTTTTTTTCATTTAGTGATCTGAACAAAATTTATTGGCTCATTCCCAATTGAAACAGCCTCGCATTTTTTGTCGCATAAATGGTAAATAGGAATTCTGTTCAATGGTTTGAGCTGGCTTGATTGTTATTTTGTAGTAAGCTTTCTTTTTTGAATAGAAGAACATTTATGATCTTAAAATGACGATTTTTTATGCCAATAATTTATTTAAGAGACATTATTCGCTTGCAAGATTTAATAAAATGCTTTAAAGGCTTGAAGTATAAGAGTCGTTATAGCTTCGCCATGGCAACGGCAACGCTTTTTGTTAACTGAACAGTATCTTTGCTGGTGACCTTCGGCTTCAAGCTTGATAATATTGTGTTGTGTTGTGTGATTCTTTGCTTGTTGTCGTTGCACACAATTGGGCTTGTTTTCGTGTTCTTATGTAAGCTGATTTTGTCTTAAATACAACTATCAGGTAATGATTACCTTCCTCACTGCTGAAGCTTATCGGTGAATAGGTAGCTACCTACATTCAGCTTGTCTTGTTGACACTTGACTGTCGCTGGATCAGGAGTGGATCCTGTGTTTCAGTTTTGTTTTGCCCCCATGGGCCAGTGTAATGGAGCCGCGGCATGCTTTATATCTACTAGGGAAAGCAAAATGTATGGTCCTCCAGGTATCAAGTGGTTGGGTGCCAACATCACATTAACCGATCTGTATTGATTATTGATGAATGTCTTGAATGGCTGTTTATTTTTATTTTTTGTTAAACAGATTTAGTGCGAATGGTTGAATGGATGGATTTGAGGAAGCAGAGCCCGCACTAAGCATGGTTTGTTGTGCTGACCCTGACCCCACCACCCGATCTCACAATTCCAGTTGTATGACAGAATTTTGTTCAAACATTTAACGTGCCCTCACGATTGAACACGCCCCCCCCCCCTGTTGAAAACCATTGCTGAAGTCTTCATGAACCCTTTCCCTTCTATCGAGTGACTGAATTATTTAATGGAGTGTCTGCCAATCAAATTTATTATGCTAAAAGCACATCAGCTAACCAACCACTCTTTCGTTTGAAATCTGTATAAAGGGGCGTCTGATACTAATTGAAGACATCGCTAGGTATCTGTCTCTCTCTTCCTCTGATGTCTATAGATAGTGATTTGATTATTAACGGTGTTGCAGTGCCCTGATCTGTCGCTCCGCAGGGTGGCATCTTTTCAGTCAGGGGCTCTAGCCATCTAGCCCCAAAGCCACTCTGGATCTGCCCCTCCATTAGATTGGCTTTGCAGGGAGAGAGGTCAATGAGTGATTTGGGAAGGCTGGGGGATGTTTTAAAGATCTTATATCAGTAGATAAGTAAGTTTAGGTCAGGTTAAATTATGTTGTTTAGCTTCACTGTACTTTATCTTCTCATTAACCAGAAAGAGTTGATAAGCTTTGAAGCATTCATTATTGGTGATATTTTATATTGACATCAGCAGTAAATGACAAATCCTTGGCTACAGTAATGCTATTTTGGCACCTCATTGCCATGGCTTCAGGTTTCATTAATGATTAACTACTATACAGGGTGAGGCATAAATATTTACCCATCGAAAATTTCACTTTCTTTCAAGGCACGCTGACATAGCTATGTCATGTTTTACATACATATTACAACGTCATCTCCTTACTAATAAATGTAGTCTGTTTTCTGTATGCTCGCATTCTTCTTATGTTACGCGCCAGAGACGCGAGAGCACTAGGCACGCGGCCGCCGCACCGTCGTTTCACTTATTTTCGTCGATCATCCATGCTGTAACAATGCTGCACCGTATGTCATTTGCGGTGTTTCAGGGACTCGGTAGAGTAGGGTTTTCAGGATATTTCAGTTTGCGAAGCCCGTGGGGCTGAAGTCGGGGATAAATTGTGCCCAGCATTCTTTAGACCAAAGAGTGTTTAGCAGCCAACACCCAGTGGTGATTCCTGAATTTCAGAAGCGGCGGATGTGCGTTAAGACGACCTCGCATTTCAGGAGCGTAGCAGAGACAGTGGACGAGCATATACAAAATGAGCTACACTGTCAGGATTGGATACAAATTTGCGACATATATGCGGGTGGGACTAAATGCTTACTTCGAAATCTAAGCTACGTTGCGGCATTGGCGGTTATGTGCGGCGTGTATGCCGCATGATTAGTAAGCGGCGACCACTAAATTAAAGACTGAAACGCTCCGACCGGTTCTAAATGAATAACACTGCATACCAAAAATGCCAACCGCTCTCGTCATAAGATATTCAGCTTTAAATAACTAGGTTATCTACATCATCATTTTGAACCAAATTAATACTTTCAACTTAACTCACTCATTCCTTCCTTTGTTGTCTCCAAACAGTCTTTCGATTGTCTGGAAATCGTATGCTAAATCCCGTACCTGTATGCGACTGGTGCATATAAAGGCCGATAAAAGAATTTGAATAGGCTCTGGCATGCGATTTCCTGGCTACCCAAAAAAGTCTGTTTCAGTCTTGCTATCAAAACATGACCTCGCCCGCACAGGGGGGGGGGGGGGGTTGATGCACCCCCCTAAGGTTTTTCGCGAATAACTCGCTTAAAAAGCGGCTGATCGCGACGAAACTTTCAGTACCCTCGCATTGATCAATTTAACACCCATCCTGAAAATTTCATGACCCTGACCCAAATGACCTTTGACCTGTGACCTACTTTTCGAGACCATGTTTGGCCGGAACCGCGATTCAGCGTATGTCGGCTCGCATTAGCAGCGCGTTTGCAGTCTTTTCGTGGTTTCAAGCGTTCAAACATGTGATATGATGTTGCCCCCATGCATTAGGGTGGGTGTCAAGGTCACCTGAAGGTCAGGTCAGGTCATTGACCTTTGGTGACCTCGGTTCACTTTTTCGAGTTTGACATGTTTCTAGGTCAGTTTTTTTCGAGCTGAATTCGAATTAAGCAACCACATGAACGTTTACAAAGTAGTTTTGGTGCCTTCGTAACATGTTACGAAGCTGTCAGAGGCGGTTGACACCTACTACAAATACCTGGCAGGACCTCTACTGGTTGACCTGACCTGACCTAACCCGACCTGGCCTAAATGAATGAAGACATCATCTGTGATCAAAACTAGCATGATATTTGTGATCAGCACCCCGAAAAACCCCATAGCAGCCACACTACGACGTTCTAACAGGTCCCAATTTTCCCGCCCTTTGGGTCATTGACCTGACCTGGAAGGTCAACCGATGACCTAGGACCTTAAAATTGGGTATCATCGGCTTTCTCTCGTCACGGGCAACACGCTCGTTTTTTCCGCGAAGCTCTAGCTTGATCAGGAGCGAAACGGCAAGGGGTTATACCTTATACGTTCGCGGCTGAGTATTAATTTGGTTCAAAACAATGATGTAGATAAGTTAGTTATTTAAATCTAAATATCCTATGACGAGAGCGATGGACATTTTTGGTATGCAGTGTTATCCATTGAAAACAGGTCAAAGCTATTGAATTTTTAATTTAGTGGTCGCCGCTTACTAATCATGCGGCATACACGCCGCACATAACCGCCAATGCCGCAACGCAGCTTAGATTTCGAAGTAAGCATTTAGTCTCACCCCATATATGCAAAAGATGGCATACCTACGCCAACCCGTTTGGAAATAAAGAGAATTTATCGATGGGTAATTCTTTATGGCTCACCCTGGACTACCCTTAAAATGACTATGTTTTACCCGATTCATAGTCTGGCAAACCTAAGAATGAATGGATTTATAATGCCACTGCCATTGATCATGTGCTTTTATATTGGCTCCAACATATCTGAAAATGCTTACCACATGGCTTGTCACTTGTCAGGCAAATTTTCTCAGAATGCATTTGCTGGCAAATGGCAATGATCATAAGTCATAACACATGCAGAGTGATTCAGGTGTTTTAGCTTTGTTCTTTCTTAGGTTTGTCAGACTTTAATACGTGCTACCAGCTACTTAATGTCTTCCTAATTTAACCTAGCACTTGGAGTTGGTGCCTACCTAACGCATACTTAACCCTCGTCCCTCGCCCGTATAGAGGGGGGGGGGGGGGTCGAACGGACCCCCTCGGTTTTTCGCGAATAATTCGCGTAAAAAGCGGCCGATTGCGACGAAACTTTCAGTACTCTCGCGTTAATCAATTTTACACCTACCCTGAAAATTTCATGACCCTGACCCAAATGACCTTTGACCTGGGACCTACTTTTTGAGACCATGTTTGACCGGAATCGCGATTCGGCGTATGTCGGGCGTCGGCTCGCATTAGCAGTGCGTTTGCGGTCTTTTCGTGGTTTCAAGCGTTCAAACATGTAATATGATGTTGCCCCCATGCATTAGGGTGGGTGTCAAGGGCACCTGAAGGTCAGGTCAGGTCATTAACCTTTGTTGACCTCAGTTCACTTTTCGAGTTTTACATGTTTCTAGGCCAGTTTTCAAGCTGAATTCGAATTTAGCAACCGTATGAACGTTTACGAAGTAGTTTTGGTGCCTTCGTAACATGTTACGAAGCTGTCAGAGGCGGTTGACACCTTCTACGAATACCCGGCAGGACCTCTACTGGTTGACCTGACCTGACCTGACTCGACCTGGCCTAAATGAATAAAGACATCATCTGTGATCAAAACTAGCATGATATTCGTGATCAGCACCCCGAAAAAAAACCATAGAAGCCACACTTTACGACGTTCTAACAAGTCCCGAATCCCGATTTTCCCGCCTTTTGGGTCATTAACCTGAAGGTCAACCAATGACCTAGGACCTTACAATTGGGTATCATCGGCTTCCTCTCGTCACGGGCAACACGCTCGTTTTTTTTTTCGCGAAGCTCTAGCTAGATCAGGGGCGAAACGGCAATGGGGGGGGGGGGGGTGCAACTGTTTTCTGTATGCTCGCATTCTTCTTATGTTACGCGCCAGAGACGCGAGAGCACTAGGCACGCGGCCGCCGCACCGTCGTTTCACTTATTTTCCTCGATCATCCATGCTGTAACAATGCTGCACCGTCATTTGCGGTGTTTCAGGGACTCGGTAGAGTAGGGTTTTCAGGATATTTCAGTTTGCCCCCTATACGTTCGCGGCTGGAAAAACACCAATACGGGCGAGGGTTAATGCGCTTAGCCTCTGGCCATGGCAACAGGTACTACTTAGGTACTAAGCTCAAAGAGCTCTAATTGATTGAAGGTAGGCTTAGTTTGACTTGTTTAGGTATTTTGTATGTGTATTATTTTGATCTAGGTTTAAAAGTGAAAACTGCTTCATGGCTAAAGGCCTCACTTAGTGGTCTATACTCCACACCAATATATTGCTTAAGCCTAAACCATGCAGCTTTGTCTTGTTCTGTTGTCTTGCAATCCAAAAGCCAAATTGTATCTTAAAATGACCTAGATTAATATATGTTGCCATGTGCCACAAGCCCTGTGATAGCATATGTGACTATGAAAGTGGCAGTTCAAATCATTTATTTGTTTTGTAATTTGTAGGTATAGGTCTGCAGTCAATATACTGATTTTATCTCGTCTCAAATCTGCATATTATTTTCAGAAAAAGGCATGGATACCAATGCCTTGTTTCTTGGATGCAGAACTGGGGATCTGGCCAAAGTTAAGTAAGTACTGTTATCCTGTTACTCTCTTTGATGATGTTCAAAAATGGCTAATTCAGTTTTACATAATATCTTGCAGTTTGTGCTGGTAAATACTCTGATGTATGAACGTTAACAGCTGTTCGATTTTCAGATACCTGGTAGAAATCAAAGAAGTTGAGGTCAATATCAGAGACAAATGGGACAGTACACCTCTGTAAGTACTGGTATTGATTGATGCAAGTAGGACGTTATGCTTTATTTTATGTTAGAGGTATGTTTGAAATATATAACTACATATGCTGGTCAGTTAACCAGGTATTGTGTCAGTGGCAGTGCCATTCACATTATAGTGCTTTGCTAAGCAGTCTCTGGGTCAGTTCCTCAGGTACTGTTTGTGTCCCTGTGGTACAGCTGGGCAGTCTCGGCTGCTACCCCAGTTACCCTCTGTGTCTGTGGGGGTGTTTCTGTGGTGCTTAATGGTTTCTGGGCCGGTCCTCCAGGTACTATGCGTGTTGCTGCGGCCTGCGGTGCTGAGAGACCTCGGGGCCGCTCCTTAGGTACTGTGCGTGTCTGTGTGGGGCTGAGAGGCCTCAGAACTGGTTTGTCAGGTACCTACTTTGCCTGCCTGTTAGGTGGTGAGATATGCAGAACAGTCTCGGGGCGGGCGTGTCAGGTACTATGTGTCTCTATGGTGCTGAGTGATCCGGGACTGGGTCTCCAGGTACTATACATGTCTGTGTGGCGGTGTGATGTACTGAGTGGTCTCTGAACCGATTCTTCAGGTACTACGCGTGTCTGTGCGGCCACGCCGAGCTGGTGGAGTACCTGCTGGAGGCCGGCGCGCGCTGCGAGGCCAACACGTTCGACGGCGAGCGGTGTCTGTACGGCGCGCTGACGGACGAGATCCGACGCGTGCTGCTGCGCCGACACGCCGTCACCCGACAGACCATCCGGCGAGACGTCTACCAGGAGTTCCTGCGCAGGTCAGCGAACGGGGGTGGCCGTCAGCGGGACAGGTGACAGGACGGTCTGTCATGGCTCTCACACGGGTCAGCGGAGCATAAGTCAGGGTCTGTCTGCGGCTCCTGCACTGATCCGATTATCTGATATAGGTATTACCGGTCTTGTGTCCGATACTATGCCTATCTATATGATATGGTGCGTGTGCACTGTGCAACTGGTGTGACGCCTTGTGTTCGATAAGGTACGGGCAGTTGGAACAAAATCGCTCTGGTGTCCTTTGCTCTGCTTTTTTTTCCGAATCCAGTCGAATCTGGCCGGCTTTACAATGGATTTCGGCCGGCTTTCCCATGCGTTGCCAGTGTTAGGGTGAAGTCGTATAAGAGTACGCACTTAGTGGATTTCTTGCTCTCATTTGTTTAATATTTGAAGGAAAGAAATCGCAAATAGGGAATATTAAGTTCATTGAATTAGCCATCAACCCATGGGGCAACGATCCTTCAGCGTAAATGAAAGTGGTCTAAAACTGACATTTTTCTGAACCGTTGCACTTGCGTACTCTTACCATATGGGGTGTGTAAGAGTACGCACGCCAGGCGGGTGGAGTACGCAAGCATATGAACACACACCTATGCAGCTTGCACTGTCCAAATGCTTAGCTTCAAACTCAGAAGGCATTTAAGTTAATTCTAGTATCCAAAAAGAAAAACAAAATAAATCTTTCAAGTCTATAAATCAGGAAATAATCATGTCGTGTGTTTCTTGAAAAAATGCACAATCAAAAAGGAGAATAACTGGTATTTGGAAGAATTTCGGGTACGCATCTGCATCACAGTGCTCCATTGATGATATACCTACAAAACAAACGTCATTGAGCGATAGATTAATAATTATATATTTCTGTATATTCGATTTAATGTATAATTCTGCGTACTCTTACCCTCCTGAACAGTGCGTCCTCTTACCGTACATGCAATTCGCGCACAAAACAACCCCGAAACATTGTGCAAAACTTCGCAAACAGAATATTGCACTGTACAGTATTTCCCCAGATAGCCTCACAAGTTTCCCACAACAATCACGGAAATGTACCTTATCTCAACTGCCAAGTATCAAAATTATTGTACCATATCATAATTATATCATAACGCTCGAAAATAATATTCATCGCCTTAAACTCAACAGCGTCGCCGCTCAACGCCCACGTTCCGTTGGTGACATGCACGCACTGGCGGCTTCATGTCACTTCATGAACTCGACAAACCCGCGTTGCTAAGCAACCGAAACAGCTGATGCGTACTCTTATCGCCCGCGTACTCTTACCCGCCCTTACCCTACCCACCGACTGTCTGATGCGTTACCGCTGCTCTATCTGATCTACTATCCCTCCATCAGACTGCTGGAGGCGCACCCGTTCAGCGATATCACGTTCGTGGTGCACGGCGCTTCCTTTCCCGTGCACCGCTGCGTGCTGGCCGCCCGCTCCGAGTACTTCTGTGACATGCTGGACACCAAGTGGCGTGATCGCACCACAGTCACACTCACCAATGACCTGGTCAGTGCCATAGACGGGTTGACGGCTTAGTGACCTGACCTAACCATGTCCCCTGAATGTGTGTAGTGAACTTCATTTGATTGATAGTCCATTTTATCGTTTTATTTTAGGAACTTTTTACCCGCGCAATGGGTTACTGTGACTTGTTAGTTTTGCTGATCTCTGACGTGAATTGAGTGATGTTTAAGGTCCAGAAAGCACGCCGTGTGCTTTGTGGACTGTGTGAAGGACATTCCTGATTATATTCCATCCTGTTATTGATGGTAGTGTGTTTCTAAAATCACCACTCCCTCCAGGTGAATCCTGCGGCGTTTGCCAGCCTGCTGCAGTTCCTGTACACGGGCCGACTGGAGACGGCCGTGGCAGACGTGGACGACTGCCTCCGACTGGCCAACCAGTGCCGGCTCACCGACCTCAGACATCAGCTGGAGGAACACATCGCCAGGGTGGACGAATTCGGTAGGGACATGCACCGGCGGCTGGGGGTGATATCGGGACTGGCAATGAGACAATGGGGGTTGAGCAGACCGCATCAATGGCAGTGTGAACCTAGCTGTGTCAGCTTGAGTATGTTTAGCCTCGTGCTGTTTGACAGATTGTGAGTGTTTGTTACATCAGAATATGCCTGTTCAGCGTTCACTATCGATGAACGTCTCATATTGTCATTGAACGTTCTTATTTTTCGATGTCCTGTCATTTTTAAATGCTACCCTGACCCAATGTCTTCACTCCTCAGGGCTCAGTATATTCCTGTGTTTGTACTGACCTCGTGTGACCGCGTGTCTCGCCTCTCCTCTAGTGAGCGGTAAGCCGGGCACCCGAGTCACCCAGCTGGTCCTGGAGTCAGACGAGGCGCTGGCGGAGCTGGCGCTCGACCTGGCCGTGATGGCCGAACAGGCGGTGCCGCCGGCACTCTGCAGCTGGGCGGTCGGCACCGAGCTGCCGCTGATGCCCAAGGTGCCGCCGAGGTACGCCGACGTCGTCTTCCTGGTCGAGGAGCACCGCTTCCCTGCGCATAAGGTATGGTTTTGGTTCTGAGCGGCTGCTTGGACGGGAAGGTATGGGACAGGACGATATGGAACGGGAATATAGGATGGGATGGCGTTCTGCGGGTCGAAAAGGGACGTCACGGAACGGGAAGGAATCTGGTGGTGAGTATTTAATTGCGAGTACTTACAGGACATGTGGCGCTGCTTGACTGTGTTTTCGAGCGTGAGGAACTCAGCAGTCATCATGCTCATTGCTCATCCTGAGCTCGGAGTCAATAGGCTGTGGGTAGGAATGTCGATTGCACAGATCGCTGCTAGTTCGCTGACGTTGCGTACCGGCACGTTGCAGGTGTTTTTCTGCGGTCGCAGCGAGTACTTCCGTGCGCTGCTGCGGGACCCATTCAGCGAGAGCGGCTGTGACGCCGGCGTACCGCTCATCACACTGAGGGGGCTGACGGCGCCGGTATTCGTCAGCATGGTGCACTTCGTGTACCAGAACACAGCCACGGTACGTCAGCATGCTGCACTGGGTCTACCAAAACACAGCTGCGGTACAGACGCCAGGGCCCAATCTTATAAAATGCCGTACTATTCTATTTACGGCATTTGGTAACATTGACAGTGATACCAGTGCCGACAAACGGTGATCCGAGTCGACAAAATGATTCTTTGGACTGCCAACATACGATGGACTGAAATGCGTGAAAACCATCTTGCATTTAAATGATTTAATAGCCGTTTTCTGCAGCTTAACTTCAGCCAGTGCTGCCGTATCCATTCCACGGCGTTTATAAGATTGAGCCCTGAAGCAGCCACAGTACGTCAGCAAGCATAGTGCACTGCGTCATACGGTATGGTCACTTGGCCCGAAAGTCGTGGCAACTGGCACAGCTCAATCCCCAACCATGACTGAGTGTCATACGTGAAATGCGTATGGTTCTAGTGTATCCGATGTCCAGCTCTCCCTCAACACCGAATTTCTTTGATGAGTAACGAGTCCAACCTGGCCTGTGTCCTCCCCTATCGATCTCCCTCTGCTCTGTCTAGTGTCTGGTGCCCACGTAGTTAGCTGTCGTCTCTTCTTTAGCCCGACCGGTGGTCTCCCCTGACCAGCTCAGCCCCTTCCCTGACTGGTGACCCACTTCTGGCGTTGTTGTGTCTGACCGGTGTCCCGTGTCTGACCTAGCCAGCTGACCCCTCTCCTCTGCCGTGGCCAGCTGACCCCTCAGCCCTGACCGGACGTGACCCACGTCTCCCTCCGGCAGCTGACGGAGAGCACGGTGCTGGACGTGCTCTCAGCGGCCGACATGTGCCTGCTGCCTGGCCTGAAGCGGCTCTGCGGCAACTTCCTGGTGGATCTCCTGGACCGCGAGAACGTGCTGCCCGTCCTCAAAACAGCCCGCCTCTTCCAGCTGCCAAAACTGGAGGACGCCTGCACGCAGTTCATCGCAGAAAATCTCGACCAGGTGACTAACCCGAGCGTGAGACCTTATTTTTTGCCCATTTTTGTTTTAGTCTTGTGATCACACTAAAACACAAATATGTAGTGTAAGGTTTAATGCGAGATGCTCTCAACCAATGGCTCTTGCAGTCGATGTGCTCGGAAGTCGCAATCAATTATTCCCAGAGAACGTACCTTATGGGTCTGAGCTTTCAGATCAAATCCAATATTTTAAGCCTGAATTGTTATGCTAAAAAGTGTTAGTGTCGTGAACTCCCAAACAATATGTTATCCTTCCCTGCCTCATTGGGTCTGTCATCCCGATCCATGTATGATCCTTATCCTTGTCTCCTGTCTGCCGCCGCCGCTCGGTGTCGGCGCAGGTGCTGGACCCGCTGACGGACCCGCTGCCGGGCCGTCCCGCCGCCTCCTCCCCCGGCCGTCCATCCTCCGGCGGTACCCTGCTGGCCCGCTCCGAGCTGGCCATCCGCGCCAAGCTGCGCCGTCTGGGCAGCGCGGACAGCGCGCAGGGCGCGGCGCCGGCGCCGGACCGGCCGCGCTCCCTGGAGGAGGTGGTGGTGCAGGTGGACACAGTATCGGTCGGCCGGCCGCCGCCCTCGGCCGCGCACCGGCCGGCCGCGCCCGACTCGGCCGCCGCCGCGCGCGTCACCTCCGCCAACCAGCTGTGTGAGCTGGCGGCGGCAGCGGCGGGCGCCTCCTGCCGGCCGGGGCTCAGCGCCACGCTGCCGCGCGCCGCGCCCACGCCCTGTTTCTACGTGCACCCGCCGCCGGCGCCGGCCGGTCCGGAGCCGTTGGGCGGTGGCTCGCCGGTGCCGCGGCCGCCCGCCTCCAGCTGCGGATCCAGTCGGCCCGACACCGTCGGAGGACTGGTCTGCGGCGTCCCAGAGGCCGAGATGAGGGGCATGGGTGTGGCGGTGTGCGCGCTGATGCTGATGATGTCCGGACTGGCTATCGTGTATGGGTACTTCATGGGCTACTGATGGGTGGAAGGCTTGGAAGCCGACATCGGATCGTGTTATAAACTACCGGAGGCGCGCCTGGTCCTCGTCCTTATCCAACAGCAGACTTCGACTCCTCAGACCAGCATATGACCAGCCTCAGACCACCGTCAGACCACGGTCAGACCCCGGCGTCCCGGAGCTGACCGGCGGCCCGTCCCTCTCACCAGATGGCCGACTGTGAAGAGTTCGAGCAGCTGGTCGCCGAGGACGCGCGGGCCGTGGTCGACCGTCAGCAGACCGACTCGATCGCCGTGCTCGACGACGTGCGCTACCACGTCACCAGCGCCGTGCAGACGTTCTCGGACGTGGCCGAGGCGAGTGGAAAGCTGCGCCTGCTGGACGACCTGCTGGACCGACTCGGTCTGAATGCCTGAGCTGGTGGCTCGTCAAGCGACATCGACCACTGTGTGATAAAGTCGCGAGTGCTGTGCACTTAGCGAAGTAACTGGGTGAGCGATGAGCTCTGCTGCCCGGTTCTTACAGCGACTGTCCTTTGCGGGGTCGACCTGACGTGGTATTGGACGCTTGCTCAATCGAGCAGGTCCTTGTGAACGAACCGCCGAACACGCCACTCGTTATGTGGCACCGATGTGTCGAGATTCCAGCCGCATTGTTAGGATTGTTTCAGCGTGAGCTGCCGTGACTGTGAGGAGAGTTTTACTGGGAGGACGGCGCCGGTGACCGGTGTCGGTGTTCCCAGTGTGTGCGTCTGTGTTTCACTGGCGGACAGGCTGGTGGTGGACCCGCCGTCAACAGACGACTTACCGCGAGGTTCTTATCGAACCGACAGCGTTCGTCGCCGCTCAGGTACAAAACCACGGGCCAGCCATATATTGCAAATCATGGCCTGTTCAATGCAACTAGGTCCTTCGACTAATCTAGTTTTATTGTTACCGTGTTGAAATGCTGCTGTATGAGCGGCGATAGTATTATTTATTTTCCTGTTTGATTTGTTGCACACGTAGTATTGGAACACGGAGGCAGCGATAGCGGTTATCGGTGATGACTTTTGGAACGGGGACTGCCACCGGCATGGACTGTTTGTAATCATGTTGTGACAATTCATCACGCTGACCCCATTCCTGCTTCTGCTTAGTGACTATCTCGCCGTGGCCCTGTTCTTTTCTTGTGGTTAGTGCACTGGGATTTTATGGCAAATCGTGAATTGTGAAGCAGTATGCCTACTAATTGATTCAAACGCCTCGAAATCTGCTTTGTTTTGAACACCCCTCGCGATGGCATGTTCGCCGTAATGTGATAATGCGCGGCATGTGTTGCCTCCGATGTCTGTTGACGGGCGCAGTATAAGAGGTGCCTGCTCTCAGCACTGTGGCGGAGTATGGGATAGTTGGTCGGGCTGTGGTCTATCTCCCAATAGGGACACGCCAACCGACCTTCCTTCATTTAGACATGGATTATTTCTGTGGATAAAATTACTCAAGTTCATAGGCGGCGGAACGGGGGGGGGGCACCGGGGCACCGTGCCCCCCCCTTGAATTCTGCAAGGGGGGCACCAATAGCAAGGTGCCCCCCCTTAAATTTGATGTATTAGTACCAGGGGCGGATTCGGGAAAACTCCAAGGGGAGGGTCATGAATCGAAGTGGTTCCCCTACCTATGCCCAAAATTAAAACCTCAACGGATTTCGGCCACTTAATTTTGGTGGTGCCCTATTTTCAGTTTTTTTATTTTTTATTTTTGGTTAGTCATGTGATGACTGGTGCCCCTGGTGCCCCTGCTAGGCCGCTGGTGCCCCTGAAAAGACTGTGGCACCTACCTACCCTGCCCCCTGACAAGCCTACGGTGGGCCCTGACATGACTTAGGTGCCCATGGGCCCTGACAGGCCCGTGGTGCCCCTGACAGGCCTGTGGTGTCCTTGCTAGGCCTGTGGTGTCCCTGGGCCTTGACAGGTTTGTGGTGCCCCTGTTAGAACGCAGGTGCCCTTGACAGGTTTGTGGTGCCTCTGACAATCCTTAATTGCCAACGACAGGCTTGTGGTGCCCTTGACAGGCCCATGGTGCCCTTGCGAGGCCGGTGGTTCCCCTGCGAAGCCGATAGTGCCCCTGGCAGGTCTGTGGTGCCCCTGGAAGACCTGTAGTGCTTTTGCTAGGCCGATGGTGCTCCTGACAGGCCTGTGGTGCCACTGACAGGCCCGTGGTGCCCCTGCTAGGCCTGTGGCATCCCTGGCGGGCCTGTGGTGCCCCTGTCGGCTGTCAGGCCTGTGGTGCTCCTGGCAGGCATGTGGTGACCCCAGGCCCTAAGTCATGACCCATGTGACCTCCACCCTGGGATTCGCCACTGATTAGTACTGCGATGGCTTCTTGTTTTTGGGAATTATACATGTAGGATAAATCGAATTTATCAAACGACAATAAGGAAGAGACAAACACATAGGTACTTGAGGATCAGCTTAAAGTTAACCACACATACGGGCAGGGGTGTAATTTTCCTAAAATTATTGTGGGTGCCCAGCTGTAGGGGCGCCCGGCGCCAGGCCGTTTTGGGGCGCGATAGATATTCTTTATGTGGGAGCCTAAATTAACACCGAATTTGATAACATTGCTAGCCGAATGGCGCTTCAAGTGACGTGTCTGACTAAGCAAATACACGCTTAAAAGTGGAGACTGACCGGAAGGACGTAAAAAAGATGTAGAGAGGCGCCATCCAGTAGGAGGGGCACGAAATGTGGAGGCACCAGACGGTTACGACTTACGAGGGCGCCGTGAGACGATGAAAAGGGCGCCATTCTCTTAGGAGGGCGCCGAGTGATTAAAACGCTATGTGGTCCAGGGGCGCTAAGAGGCCAGAAGGGCGCCGCACAGTCAGTAGTGCTACGTTGGTGGGGACGTGGGGGCGCCAGATGGTTACGAGGGCGCCTTGAGATCATGAAAAGGGCGCCATTCTCGTAAAAGGGTGCCGAGTGATTGAAAACGCTATATCGACACCATTTTTTAAAACCCACATCTGCTCTCCCGTGAATTTCCGGGAGGCACGAAAGATCTCCTTTTAAAGGAACTATCCCACCTTCTAAAATGTTGTTAAAACCAGTTAAATTGTGCCCGACTTTATAGATTGGATGACCAGGAAAACGGTTCTGGCATTTATTTTTCATTAAACATCTTAGGCTTCCCATACACACAAACTTTCAAATATGTGACATCACAGCCCAAAATTACCTCCTTCCCCAGGCCACATTACTGTCATAAAGCTGATTCTTTTTACTCTGTAGGCACCACAATAAAGTTCAGACCAAGTTTTAACCCTCGCCCGTAAACGGCGATCTGCCACCTTCGCCCATGCAGGGGGGGGGGGTTGGTGCGACCCCCCCTTGGCGTTTGAAAACGGAGCGTCGTAGAGCTTAGCGGAAAAGACCAACGGATTGCTCTCGCCGAGATCTCGCGATTGGTGGTATAGTTTTTGGTCCTAGGTCAACATTTGACCTACTTTTGACCGGTCAAAGGTCAAATTTTTCGGAAAAATAGACTTTTTCAACTTTCCGCGGCGATTGCGGCAAAACGGTGGAAGATATCGACTTGAAACCTTTACTTTCGTGTTCCTTGATCAATTCTCTATCGTTTGGTATGTATTTCGTTTCCCTAGCTCTAAAAATGGCGCGTTGGGAGCGCCGGAAGTCGGCAAGGTCACAGTCGGCGGCAGAAATTCGAAAAATCAAAATTTAAATTTTTGAAATCTGATTGTGTTTTTGGATTTGGGAGGTCCATTTGCTCCCTATAGAAGCTAATATTGCTGCATATTCCCATCGAGGTGACAAGAATTAGCAAAATAGTGGTTCGGGCGCTTTTCAAAAATAGTACCGGACGCTGTTCCTCTTGTGACGTCATAGCTCCGTGACCTGACCTGACCCGGTCAAGTTTCTTATACCATATGATAGCCAATACTTGCCCCAACATGCATGGGAAGTTTCATCACGATCCATCAACCGATGTCCGTACCACCGGCAGGAAACCTCGGGCGTTGGCACTCAGTTTGTGAAAATCCGGCCGGAGGCTGTTCCCTTTGTGACGTCATAACTCCGTGACCTGACATGACCCGGTCAATTTTTTTTATCAAAAGATGCGCAAGGTTTGCCCCATAAGGTACCCAAAATTTGGCGGCGCTGCGCGCCGCCGTTTTTGCACTATTTCCGAAAAACCTCAGGGGGGGGGGGTTTGCACCAACCCCCCCCCCTACATGGGCGAGGGTTAAGCGATTTTTCAACGAACAAACCCATTTAAATCAGAATGACTAAACGAGGTGACGTCACACTAACGGTCGCTCCATGTTGAAGATAGGGCCTTGCGCAAGGCCCATTTTCAAAAGAAGGGAACGCATTTCTTCAACACCAAGAGGCCGCGGGGGTTGCAACCTAGATAGATAGTGGTTTCTGAACCTCGCCGCAAGCTTGGCTATCTCAACTCAAACCCCATGTTAAAGGTGGGATAGTCCCTTTAAAAGTGTCCAATCGTCCGATCCTGATCAAATGTGTGTTCGTAGGCCTGTTCTTGTATTGCTTTATCTGCCAAGATAGACAAACTTGAGAAAAATCGAGTGATTGTACCTTTTTTGAAGGTCTCTAACCAACTTGTCTGAAATTCACCGGAGAACAAATGTGGAGTTTAAAAAAAGGTGTCGATATGTGGTTCAGGGGCGCTGAGAGGCCAGATGGGTGCCGAACAGTCGAGGGATGCACGGTGAACAGAGACCTAAGGACGCGAGACGGTCAGGAGGGCGCCGTTAGACCATGAGAATGGCGCGGTGCTGTCAAAAGTGCGCCATTCTCCCAGAAGGGCGCCGAGTGATTAAACACGCTATATTATCCATGAACGCGAGACGGTCGCCGTCAGGAGGACGCCGTTAGAGCATGCGAAGGGCACCGTGCTCTCGAAAGGACGCTTGCAGCCTTGTAAAAGACTTGTGGCTGCATTTTCATCATTGTGGGGGCATAATTCAGGATTGTGGGTGCATATGCCCCCACAAAGAGATATAAAATTACACCCCTGCATACGGGGGTGAACTGCCATTTTCGTTTAGTAAAAAAAAATAAAAAAAATCAAAAAAATCATCGTGTCAGGGCTGTGACGAAAAATAAGTGGCCTAAACCCGATGAGAAAACAGGATTTGGGGGTACCCTAGGTTTGGCTCCTTGAGCCATGGTGCCCCCCCTTGTCTCAAATCGTTCCGCCGCCTATGCTCAAGTTGTACCGCGGTTGTTTCTGGGCTGAATGTAGTCAATGGAGAGTGAATGCCTGTTTTAAAGACCATGCGTTAAAGGCGGATTTTGACGTCAAGGAGCGGACATCTAAGTAGGAAATGGCTGATTTATAACCCGATCCGCAGGTCCTCGACTGGTGTGAGGTAGGCCGAATTGTCGTCTTCTGTTGCTGCGAAGCCGCCTACCGGTCTTCGAATGCCTTGTCATCTCCTGGTCATCTCGGCACCGACCTGCTTCATGATTTCGCTTCTGATAATAATGGTGTTGACTGTTATGCCGAATCCGAAAATACGGCTTTGGCAGAGCAGTTGCGGACGCTAGAATCCTACAAAAAGGTACCGGCGTGCTTACTGTCGAAAAACTGCAAATTTTTGTCAGTTTCGGGCGCCGCGGGGAGGGGGACATCTGCTCCAAATTTTTCCCGGATCCACCAGTGTCTGGAAAAGATCGACAGAGAAGCGTTTTTGCACACGTTTACCCGTGCCCTACTCCGTAGCGTGGGAAGCCTATTTTCCAATGTGTGTGATACGAGGAGACATGACATCCAATTCAAGGCTACCTATATAACATCCAATGTTCATTTATGATTGTTTGAAAGTGTTAAACAAATGGAGTGGAATGTGCATGTAAAGCATGGGAGAATCATTGAATGTGCGAACTATTTTCTAACACTTTTTACGGTGAGGGCCCTCTATTTTCAACGGTCGGTCCGAGGCTATAGAACGGTCGGTCAACGGCAAATATGCCAACGCCAACGATTTGGCCAGGTCCAATGGGCCTGTGGGAAGTAAAGCTTGCAGCTCTAAAAAAATATTTTACTACAATTTTTTTTGAAAACTGGTGAGGACACTTATGCAAAAATAAGTCATCATTACATAAAAAGTAGTTCATTGGGAGAACACCATGCGCAAACCGCTTTGAAAATGAGACATTTTGAATAATATGTTTACATTTAGGACAGTGCTGTTTTCCGTGGTAGCGATCTTCCTTTCTAACCGCTTCCCCCTGCGTCGTTCATTTCCGTCGGAGGAGAGGTCGAGGAAGGTCAGTGCCATTTTGGGTCCCTCTATTTTTTGATGTTTGCTGATTGTTGGCAAGGCCCTAAATACAATTGTTGGGATGAATTATATCACGACGGTCTACTGAGCATGTGGATGAAAGAGTGATTGCTGAATTGAAACTAGGGCATCACAACTTCTTATTGCCCTTTCTGCGTCACTATGTCGTTCTCTTTTCAGATGCTTTTCCCTTGGCTTTTCCCTGGCTCGGAAGTCCTTTTATGGCTGGATGAGGACGTGAGACAAGGTAGGTTATATGTTTGAACTATTGCATTAAATAGAAATGTGTGTACCTATGTGTTTGGAAGTCTGCTTGCCAGTTCTGAGTTTATCTTTGGAACCTATGCAAAAGGTAAAATAATGCAAGCAGCATTAGGGGTTCAATTTGAGCATGGTGTTGCTGGATTCACATTTGATTTGTTTTCTATTTGAGATGAATATTGTAAGAATTGGTTATCGAACAAAACTGCTAGTTAAAAATTTTGGTGTTAGTAGAGCAGACGTCACATGAAGGTTTTCCAACCAAGGAAAGGCGCTGTAGGTTTGTAGGTTGTAGGGTAGGTCAGGTGGTATATGTCAAGTTTAGGTCCTAACTACAATTGTGACGCTGTTGATACGAATATGAAACAACAAAAATTTTAGGTTTTAGTTTAGGTTAGGTTGTAGGTTTGTAGGTTTTAGTTAGGTTAGGTTTGTTTGGGTTTTGTTAGAAAGAAGAACCTCCAGGCGTAGCACCTCTCCTTGGTTGATAAACCTTCGTATGACGTCTGCTCTACTAATACCCAAATTTTGTGGTTTTTCAATTTTATAAATTAAATGCTGATTAAACATTCCCAATTGTATTTAGTTATCTTGAGTTGGAGTCAATTTTCTAAGACTGAGCAGTGAGCCAGTGCCGGGAGTCTCTGAAAATCCATTGATTCTGCAACCTGGTTGGTAGGATGTTTTAGTTGTTACCTGCCTACCATACTTAATGACATAAAATAACATTGCTTCTAAACAACATCAGTAGCAAAAAACTATTTTTGGCATAACATTGTTGAAGCCCATGCTGTTGTGCGAAGGCAAAAACTATAGTCAGGTAGAGGTCGCCCAAGGCCAAATGTATTCGTTTTTGCCTTTGCATGGCACCATGTATGGTTGAACAACTCAGCTGTTAGCTAGATAATTAGATGATTTAATGCACAGCTTGATGGGTACTGATACAAAACATTGCTGGATGCTGGTGCTCCTGCAATTCCAAAAGCATTGTCAATTGTGTAGCATACCTAATATGTGATACGTGAGTCATAGTGCAACACCATATGAGCAATTAAAATTCGAAGTATCGATTCATAAACTGAATATTTTTCATTTTCATCTGGATCTTGCTTGCAATTCAAATTGTAGCAAAAATTATCAGGGGTCAGTAATGGTATACATGATCAAACAGTAGTAGTAATGCATATCAACCAATGTCAAGTTTGACCTATGATGTTCAAGTTATCCCTGGCATAAGACCATGAATGAACAATTTGTTATCTGATGGCAATTAACAGGTTTAAGTTGGGCCTGTTGGATCTTGCAGTTAAATCTTGTTTTTTTTTTTACAGATCACTTATATGTGGCCAATTTACTGTGCCATGAAGACTTTTTGGCAAGTCGAGTTACAGGAGCTGGATAATGGATGACACAGAAAGGTGATTACTATTATTTTGCTATTTTCCACCTGCCATTTCATGATGCTATTAAGCATATCTCTTAGCATTTGTGCTGAATAAAGGATTCTGATTCTGTTGAGATGGACATAGCAGATGCTGTTATCTACATGTTATTAACTGATTGTCCTTGCAGGCTTTCCCTGCCTGGTCATCACATGCTTTTCATCTATTCTGATGATTGTTGGAAGTCTTAAGCACTGCTCATCACATCACTTTGTAAGTTTGATTTTATCGTGTTTCCATGTTTCAAATTGTATATGCTATCTGATGAATAACCACCTTCACTCGCCGTGCTGATGTTGATGATAGGAAGGATCTGAAATGATGTTGAATCATGGTGTCATTGATATGCTATGCTTGCATCTACTCACTGAGCTCATTTCGCAGGAAGGGTAAGGATGCCTTGAAGCAGGCCTTGAAATTGGAAAACACATTATCCATGTAAGTCGATTAAGTTGCTAAATGCTATGTCTTCTTTGGCAATTTTCTAATGATGTTTTAAGCATATCTCATAAGATACTATGTTGAATAAAGGATTCTGATTTAATTTGTATTAATGCTATCAATATGTGATTATCCTGTGTTTTAATAGTAACTACCTTTGCAGGTTTTCCTGCTGACTGGAAGGATTCACAGTGATGAAGGGTCAACAGTTTCTGTTCCATTCAAGACTTCATAGGTAAGATAAATGTTATTTTAGTCAATTATTTTTAAAAATAAGTTCTTCTGATGATTTATCACCTTCACTCGCCGTTCTGATGTTGATGACATGAAGGGTCTGATGTGCTCCATAAAGGCATGTGATGTACAAAAATGTTTTTATGGCTCACAAGCTGTTTCTTTGCAGGCTGGGATGATACGATGAGTTCAAGTTGGCATTTCCCTGGGTCAGTGAACAAGATGCTGCTGGTGTTTTTTACTATGACAGGTAAAAGAATACAATAATAGAGCATCAATGTGAGATTACAAACGGTTATCTTCACTTTAACATTATCTGGTGAGATTTATATGGCTTATAAATCAACTGATGATTTAATCACGACGGTCTACTGATGCTATGGATGACAGCTGTGATTTCTGATGTGGTGATGGTGATCGTGCACTTGCTTGGGGATGTTCCATTGCTTATAAAAAGGTGCTTTACAGGTTTCTTGACACAACAGCTGATTAACAGCCTGAAAGCAAGCAATGGATATATTTAATGGTAAGGTCCCACTTAGAATTGAATGAAGAATATTGCATAAGTGATACATAATGATGTGCAAGTTATCCCTGTCATAATGCTTTTGATGATATCATGGTATCTGAGAATGACTTTAAAAAGCTGTTGTTTGTGTTCGTTTTGCAACACTCATGCTTTGTCTTGGGTTTCAGGCTTTCGTGCTGTCGGTGAATGAGCGTAGTGCAGGTATGTCAAGTATATTTACTGACATCTGTGTAATCTCGTTACTAAATGATGCTTACAAGCATATCTCATATTGATGTGATGAAGAAAGGATACTGACAAATGTCAACCTTAAATTGCTCATTGCTGTGAGGTGTGGTATTGATAATCAATTTCATTGCACAGGACGGATGCGGTGGAGCTGGCACTTTCTTTCGGACAAAATGTTCATCAGATCATATGGCATTACAAGTTTAAACTGCAACAGCGGTGGGTTGTTACTTTGTCATTCTGTGGGCATTTGAGAATAATGTTTCTAGCATGTGATGATTTGGTTCCGTGTTTCTGACTCGAGATGTCACTAAACCTTCTGATAAAATGGCGCGAATGAATTATTTCTCTAGCGCTGAATCGGATTTTCAACAGAATATCCCATGTTTCAGGCGTTTCAGCGATGCTGTCATCTTCTCAGCCTTCTCTTTCTCACAGGTACGTGTATTCTGAGTTACTGTACATAATTCATTAGCTACAAGGATGATCACGGTTCCGTGTTTCCGATCATATGATGACATTAACCCCTGAGTGTTATTCCTCGGGTACTGACTGCTAGATGTGCATTTGATTCTTCCTAACAGTATTCTTAATTTCCAGCTGCAACACTATCATCAGAAGTCGAGAAATCTGAACGTCTCATCACGCTGACTACTCTTGTGATGAGGTATTTGCATATCGACTGTTTTGATATTACAATTTGACAGCTGATATGATGTCACGCATGTCTGTCAATCCAATGAGAAATAATGATTTCATTATTTTGCGCTGATTAATCGATAAAAGGTGAAGTATAAAATCATTATGCTGCATTTCTAACTCGTGTTAATTTGCAGGTGACCCGAGCAATGCTTGGTGTGCCGCGACCCATGGAGCTTATCAGGTAAGAACCAATCACTTTTTACGTACTTATTCGTGTCAGTGTCGTTTACATGATGGTTTCTAAGAAGCGATGATCTAAATGATGACACCACTTTCTGATTGTTGTCGACGCCCTCGCTTCATGCGTAGCTTTTCATGTTTCTAACCCATCTCTGTTCCAGTGGCAGTGGGACGGAGGCAGTCGCTGCACGAGTGCCATGAGCATAGATGACAGGAATGCATCGGTATGTGTGCCTCTTCAGACTTGTGATGTTACCGTCTTCGTGTTACTGCTCCGGCGCGCTATAGCCACTGCAGTGTCAAACAAGACGAATACTAACAACTAGCGGTATCGTGCGTCCCTGGTACTGCGCGAGATCCGAATATGTTGACATGTCTATGATGCACATGCAATGCGCTTTCATGTATCGAGCGAGCCAACAAAGGCTCTTGTAAATGTGAACTTAAAAACGAGAATGTTTCAACCAAGATCCCCTCGGATAAACTCAACAGCATTCCTAACGGCTAACATTTCCTTCTTTTTCATAGGTCCTGTGTTTGTGGCGAATGGAGAACATCGGGAGGAGAGTTGTGGATCAGCATTTGATGAAAGCTGGGAACTGCTAGAACAAACGGCGGTCTTTTTCCCTTGTTCAATCCCAAGACATACACTGGTAGAGTTGTGATGGTATGTAAGTGCGACAAATACACGTTACCGATGAAAAACATTTGTATAGCTGAAGTGTCGTGCCCGCAAGATAATCTAAGATTGGTGCGATCGGCACGGAATGAAAGATGCCGGATACTGCAAAATGCTTTCTTCATTGGAAGAGATTGACTGAAGCCACCAGCGGCATCCAGTAGGAGCTCGCGCAGAATGAGCCGTGGTGACAGATGCACCGTGTATGCACTAGCAGCCTAGGTTTCGTTTTCAACCAGAGCGGTTTGTTCAGAGGACAGTCTCTTTCATCTGAAGTCACAAGGAGTAGGTGTTAGGTATGTGGTAGGGATGGAAGTCATGAACCAGGAAATGTCTAAGGGAATCACTATCTCGCGGTGCAGCAGGCGGCAGCTCAGAGTATCGTGCGGGGCTATGTGTAGTAGGCAATCATCTGTCGTCCCGCGAGGCGGGAGATATGCGGGACGCGCTCTAGTCTCTGGGCGACAGCCAACTCCAGTTGAGGCAGCCCAAAGAAAGATATGCAATCCAAGGCGGCGCTGGTATTTGCATGGGACGGTGGTTGGGGCCAGAAATACGGCACTGACTGGTGACTTGTGGTGTCCGGCGCGACCTTTCAGGCGTACGGCTCTCGCGAGATTGGGCGGTAGGTTTTGCACTAATACATTTCCGGTTAGTATATCCTAGAAACTAATCGATCTACGATGAAGCCGAGCACGATCATGGCTGGCTTGTGAACCAACAAGTCGATCGCGTCTTCAACACTTCAAAGGTTTATGACGACGAAGATATAGCCCGAAGGAAGTACACTAAATTTTCTAGCTGCAAAACCTATCGCTAAAACCCGCGGTACCCGTACTTTCGGCTCTGTTGCCTCCCTCGTACAGCGGTCTTCGTAGGTATTTTTACTGTCACCCGCTATCGTGGGATTTAGTAATTGCACGCATCCCTTCCACCTAAAATGCGGGCCTGAACCTCGTCGGTGGGGTTTCAACCGAACATGAGTATTGAGTAGGTACTACTATGGACGTCAAACCCCTTGAGACCCCACTTTTTTGCGATAATTTTTAAATGCGTCAACTCTCGTTGACAATATTCTGGCAATGTGTGTTTCAGAACCTGCCGAAACTTTTATTACTAAGGTATTTTGACGCCAAACGATTATTAAAGGTACTTCTCATTCACTCGTAATATTAAATTTCACGGAACAAATCTGCTGTTTGGGTAGAGGCTACGCGCTCATGGGGCGGAGCCACGTAATGACGTCAGCGCTAAGCTCCGCCCTACCCCTCCGGCGCTCCTTGCCCGGCGACCGGTCACTCGCGTCTCTCGCTCCATTCAGGCTTGATGGTGGGCGGTAGCTGGTAACGGTAGCGGGCGCTGGTAGATGGCATTTAGAGCAGATGGCGCTGGTGGCGGGGCTCGAATGTGGCCGAGCGCAAGCCTCTGCCCGGGCCTGAATTGACCTTAGCATTACGATTGAATGAGAAGTACCTTCCATAATCGTTTGGCGTCAAAATACCTTAGTAATAAAAGTTTCGGCAGGTTCTGAAACATACATTGCCAGAATATTGTCAGCGAAAGTTGACGCATTTAAAAATTATCGCAAAAAGTGGGGTCTCAAGGGGTTTGACGTTCATAGTAGGTAGTAGGTACTGGTCGGTGCAGGGTGTCCAGCAACGTGCACAGCAATTTCGTCCGCCTGACAGAAATAAAAGGTGCATAAGGCACGTGGACGGACAGCCGGTAATTTACTGATTATTATACCCTCAGACATCCACCTAGCCCAACTTCTCTTATAGTCTAGCACGGCTCATGCCACACAGTTTGGCACAGATGTCGAAGCACGATCACTGGAGGGGTCTGACTCTGATCAGTGTTCCCTGAGAGATGTCGGGCTCCGTGTCCAGCTAATCCTGGCCGATAACCTATCAGTTCTCGATGGTCCATGGGGCGGAACTAGTGATGTCAATTACAGAAAATCGGAATACCGATACCAAACCAAATACCAACCAAAACCGTGGGGAAATACCGAAACCGAACCAACTTTGAAAGATGAGGGAAATACCAACTTTTTACCAATTTCTTAGCCTCTTCTACATTTGTAAGAGTTCAAAATACCAACAAAATACCAAACACATTAGGATTGAAATACCAAATACCAAGTTGGTATCGGTTTGGTATCGGTATACCAAAAAGTTGGTATCCGATTGACATCTCTAGGCGGAACCCAGCTCCACGGCCCCTTTCTCAGAACGCGGGAAGCTGGCCTGGTGCGATGGTCATGCTGGCGTCGTGATAACCCGAAGCGACGCCGCTGTCTGGCTGAAAGATATAGCCTCACACATCGCTGAAGGAACTTTGGCCCTGATGAGCCCGATGAGTTGATTCAGCGGCTGATAAGACTGTTCCGATGGCAGGCACGTGGTGCCGCACCACGGCGCTGATGTGCGCCGGACACAATACGAGTTTTGCAGATTCGTTGGGTGGGGCACAAGCTCTGTTGAACGGCTTGAACCGTGCTAACCGCGCAGTGGCGTCTAGGTCGCAAAATCGTGCTCCCTTTCCGATACGGGGCCGGCGCGTGAAAAGTGCATCATGGAGAATGGCTTGTAAGCACTCATTGCGGCAGTCGTATCATGTAACAGGGTCATTGATCAACTGACGTGCTGAGCTGAAGTGCCCGGGCAGCCGGAGTTTCGACCCGCCACATTCGGTCTGAAGAGCCACGAGCGCTTGGACGGTTTGAAATAAACTGCTGGACAACACTGGAGTGGTACTTGCAGCAACTCCTGGTCGGGAAACACGTTGATGTTACAACTTACACAATACAAGTCTGGAAACTTATTCGCTCGTCGACAGTCACTGAAGCGTGACCTGAATTTATGCCGCTTGGAGACACCACGTTGTCACTAGATGTTAACATATGTGGCTTTCTGGTCAAAATCAAAATGGTTTTTATTGTGTATTCCGCATTCTTCGTATGTTTGTCAATTATTTAAAGCTAAATTTTCAGTACCAAAAGAAACTAAAAATATGTTGGCAAAACAGTTTACACACACAGTGTATAACGAAAACAATTTCAACAGAATGCCCGGAGCGCCGGGGTGGCGCCGGCGGGCACGGACGGCAGCTCGCGAGCCTGCGCCGGCAGCGGCGCCGGCACACCGTCCGGCCCCGGCGTCAGCTCTCAAACACAGAAAACACACCACGTACACAGAGCAATGATAAATAAAAACAGCGCGAGCCGGGGAGGGCCGGGCCGGGGCGGGCGCTCGGCCGCCTCCTCGCCGGGTGTATGGTCCGGAAGGGGGCGCCGCAGCCAGCCGCCCTGCCGGGGATCCGCGGCTGGCCGGCCCGCCAATCCGTGTATATCAAAAATGGAGTTAGTCATCACGATTCGGACTATAAATAAGTATATATGTAGGTATATATAACATGACGGCACCACACGGGAAGACTACGCTAGGTCCTTGTCAACAACCGCAGGTCAGCGCTCGGCATATGTACACAATGGGACGTATCAATGGCGTGGCCGAAACGGGCGAGCCAGGCAGGGGCGCTGCCTCGCCCGGCCGCGCCCATTTTTGGTCATCTTATTGCTTGTAGCGGGCCACGTTGCGGAAGAGCGCTAGCCGGCGAGCCCGGCTGGGTTTGGCGGCACCAAGGCAGGCGGGCCGCTCGCGCAGGCGGCCGACAGTCGGCTCCACTGGACTGACCAACACACGGGCGGCCGTGCCACCCGACCCCCGCTCAGCGCCGACCAGATGAGTACCGGGACTGCACGTCCACGCGCGCTCGCAGGTGTTACTGATTAGCTGCGGCAAACTGGGCCTCTGGCGTCGCGCGCGTACCGACCTCTCTCTATGTCACCACTCACAACACGACCTACCCACACAGTCGACTATTGCATAATGAGACAAGGCAACTATGTCGGCTACTCTAGTGCCTGAAAGACCTAGCATTCCTCACGCTATACGTCCTAACTGGGGCGGCTGCGGCGGCGGCGGGCGGCCTCCGCTCGGCCGGCTGCTGCTGCTGCTGCTGCTCCGGCGGCGGCGGCGGCGGCGGTGGCGGGGCCGGGCGGCGGGCGACCTTCTCGACGGCGCGCGCTCTTCGCCCGTCATGCAGAGGCGAACGAAACTCTCCGCTAGTAACGCGTATCACAGAATGGGGCGGCGGCCCCGACTCAAACGTTCGCCAGCCTGAACAAAACGACTAGAACCGCAGTGTGTGTGAGTGAGTGTGTCACGCAGGTAGCGCTCTCAGTACGCGCGGCGCCGCCGGCCCGCCGCCGCTGGCCGCCCTCCCTCGGTGCACGCGCCGCGCTGACTAGAGCCGCCTCACGGCTGCGACTTGGCGCTGGGCGAGCCGGGCGGCTGGCTGGACGGCGAGGGCACCACCACGGTGGCCGTCGCCGAGCTGGCCGTCGACTCGATGCCGTCGCCGGTGTGTACCACAGAGCTGAAGTACCGGTCTGCGGGTACACGGGGGAGGCTGCCGTCACCGACTGAGCCGGGTCGGACTCCACAGAGCACTGCACTGCCGCCTGCTTATTCATACAGATTCATTGAGGATATCTGGCATTTCTAGTTTACTCATTCCCAAAATTCATCCCAAATATAAATTGACAGCAAAGGTGAAGGAAAAACGGATAATAACGAGTATTTCATACCAGATACTGACAAGGTCCCACGGTAAGACTCACCTATTCTGCTGCTTCGAAACCAGCCTGGTCAGAAAACCCACAACCCGACCCCACCCTGCCGCATTTACATATTTAATATACGACCTCCAAGTCTGTCCAGCTCACCATCGTCGATGATGCCGGCGGGTACGTCGGCGCCGCCGGCCGCCGGCAGCAGGCTCTGCATCATGCCGTAGTCGACGTTCTCCTCCAGGATGAAGTGCTGGTTCCAGCGGCTGGCGCCGGAGCCGGTGCCGGCGCCGGCCGCGCCGCCGCCGCCGCCGCCGCCCGCCGCCGCCGAGGTGGACATGCGCACCACACTGCTGGCGGCTGAGCGCGGCGGCGACGTGTACAGCGCCATGCTGGTGGGGCTCACGGAGCCGGCGATACTGGCGTACGTGTACAACTGCCGGAGGGAAGGGGTGGTCACACTGCGGCACCAGATCAGACCGGAGGACAAGGGGAGAGCTCGAATGACAGTGCGGCTGTGGAGACCAGCCACAGCCCAGCTGGAGCAAAAAAAAAAGTGCCGAAACTGTGCATGAAAATAAACTCACTGTGAACATGTCATTTACGGAGACACGTACGGCAACGTTATATTAAAGCAGAACATTAATAACTAGTAACACAAATGTAAAACACAAGGACCGTGCTGAATAGGTAAGCGCGTGTCGTGTGCGCTCCCTTCACCAGTGATCCCGTTTGCGTCAGTGTGGAGGGTCCCGTGTAAAATGGGTGAGGGAAGCTGCGGACCGTATCACGGTACATTGACTCATGGCACAACAGAGGGCGACAGAAGCACGAGAGGTGGTGGTAGTACAGGCGGCGGGTTAGACAAGCTGGCGTTAGATGGCAGGGTTGGCAACACGGCAGGAGACAGCTCAGCAGTTAGCGTTGAGCGGAGAGAAGAAGAGATACAAGCAAAGAGAGGGTGGGGAGGCAACAGGAGCCGCACAGCCCGACCGCTGGAACAGTCCACAGCGGAGCAGCATGTTGCCGTCACCCGACAGAGCCGCTCCCAAAGCGTCTGTGGAAGTAAGAGCCAGCCGACAGGAAGCCTCGCTAGATAGCTGATAGCAGTGGGCGATCTACAACATCGCCAGATCACTGAGCCTTCAGGCCGGTCTTCGGGATCAGCATCTGCCTAGTTCTCGTCGACATGCTCTGATCAGGTCGCAGCCTCGGCATTGGCACCAACCAACGGCGCACCGCACAACAGCTGATCAATCGTCCCAAATGAATGCAGCTGTCCATCGGAGAGCGCCCGCTAAAGGGTGCAAGTGAAGTGGCTGAGTCAGCACCAGAAGCCACAGTGGGGAAAAGACAGTGTCCGAAGTGACAGCTAGCCATCCGGCGGTAGGTAGTGGAGCATCGCCGTCGGCATCATCCCAGCAGAGCGCAGCAAGAGCGGCGAGAGTGGAGCCAGATAGAGCGGTCCATCCCAGGCGGCCACAGCCAAGAGACAACCAGCGTCGAGCCAGAGTGAAGAGGCCCATCCCGGCCGTCACAGCCAACAGACAGCCATAATAGAACCAGAGTGAGCAGCACGCCCATCCCGGTCGGCCAAAGCCCAGACAGCCAGAGAGAGGAGGTCCATCCCGGGCGGCGACAGCCCAACAGTCAGCCAGCACCGAGAAAAAGACAGAGCGCCAAGAGACAGCCAGCCAGAGCGCGCGACAGCCGTAGGGCGAGAGGGCGGCGGCGCGCGGCGGCACGCTCGGCTCACCTGGCCCGTCACCGCGTGCTGAACCAGCGTGATGACGGGGCTGGCGCGCCGGCCGGCCGGCTCCGGGCTGGCTGCCTGCAACACCACGGCAAGCGTCACACGGGCGGCCGCGGCCGGGCGCCGGTCGGCGGCTCACGGGGCGGGCGGGGAGGGTTACTCGGCACGCCGGGCGGCGCCGCGCGCCCGCTCACCTGGCCCGCAGAGCTGGTCGGCGGAGAGGTCATCCGCTCGGCGCCCGCGGCGTCCGTCTCCATGACGACGGAGACGGCGTGCGGGGAGACGGCGTGGGCGGACGGCGGCGAGGCGTCCGCGCCGCAGTTCACGTCCGCTGCGGAAAACGGACAGACATCGTCAGTCTAAAACAGGAAGTCAAGCAGCCGGAAATGAAGAACAAGTGGTCCTATCCTCTCCAATCGGAAACCTGAGAGGCTTGCAGACTGTGAGTAGGTAATAGGGGACGAATGCTGACTGGTGGAGCACAAATTCAGCCCATAGCCAGTCTGCAAATTATATGCCGAAGCACGTAAATCAAGCGGCATAATAAAACCCTGCCCAAGTGGACAGTTCTGCCCCTTCAATGAAGCAGGTGTCCCACTCTCCGCGTCTTTCCCTCACCTGTGGAGCGTATGATGGCCACCGGCCGCGCCATGGGCGGCGGAGGCGGCGGCGGCAGCATACTAGTGTTGTAGTACTTGTGCTGCGCGCGGCCTGTGCCGGCCCCGGTAGTCACTGACACGCTGCCAGTCGGGACGGACGCCTGCAGGGAGAGGCGGTTAGTGGAGAGTCACAACGACCGCACACGGCGGGGCACACGATTTTCACGCAATAACAGCAGCCTGCGCATTGGAGGAACATAGCCGCCGGATCGTTGAAAAATTGGACTGCTCTGGCCGCAAAGGTATAACCGATTAGATCTCGACTGAACTTATCTCACACCATCGTCGTTCTGTTACAAGCTTTTAGCTTCTCAAAATCTCGGACCATTTCATTTATTCAAGAAATGATATAGCATATGAACCAAGCTGAATAAAAAGCTGCATTCCGATTAATTACGATTGCTACAAAACGCATGCACTAGCCACTAACTATTTAAAATCTTTCCGGGCTCGGACGATAGAGCCGCTAGGTTTAGTAGGTAGAGGCCAGGGCGTATCAGCTGATGATCTCACCTTGCCTTCTTTCCACTGCAGTCGGCTGGCGTCGTTAGATTTGGTTATCGTAGACGACTTCCACGTCTAAAACAGCACACACGGGCGAGCGCGCGCAGACGGCGGCGCGGCCAGCCGGGTTAGGTACTCAGGCCGTGGCAGGGGGCATGCAGCGGATGTAGTCTGACTACTCAGTCTAACAGACTGCTGAGAGTCAGACTGTCTGTACTGCTCTGCTCACTAGTTGGCAATACACGCGGGGACCGCGGCAAACGGACAGACGACACGGCACTCTCTGACTACGGGGTCGGTCTGCGGCCTGCGGTCTACGGCCGGTTCTCCGCCCGGCCGGCCGGGTCGACCCGTGCCGTCGGGCGGACAAGCTCTCGTGCAGGGGGAGGGAGGGATAGATACCCACCTGGGGCTGCGTGTTCTGCGCCTCCTGACAGACCAGCGTTACAAAGTCTGAGAATGTGTCGTGGCCGTTCTCCTGGTACTTGCCGGGGCTGTGCTGCTCGCCCTCCTGGTAGTAACTGGCGCTCGGCAGTATCATGTTGGACAGACCGGCTGGCAAAGGTAGCGAATCGTGTCAGACAGTTGGTGCCGTGGAGAGTCGGCCGGCGGCACGCACATACCACACAGAGCGGGAGGCAAATAACATAGATCATAAGTTGTGCACACAGACATACACTTACGGACCACACAAAAATATGAAAATACTTGTCTGCTTGATATCTTGACATAATCTCAACACATTCTTTCCCAGAGCAGCAAACGTCACTAGAATTCCAGGGATTCCAAGCTGAAGACTCGGTATTCTTCATAAACAGCTTGCACTGCTGACTGATCCATATGGTTATGTGAGTAGGTGGGACGGTGGACAATGGCACAACACTGTAAGTCACTACATAGCCGGGTGGTGACACTGGGACACGATTTTCTATAGGGAGCAAAACGACACCCTCTCTGACTGGACGGACGAACTATCTAAGAATGCTACTGACATCCGTACAAATATCTCAGTGTTAATAATGGGAAACACGCGGGCTAATGGGTGGCGGGGCTGGACTGGGTAGCTGAGCACACAAAAACGGGCACACAAATTCGACAAATGTGCCTGAAACTCACAATGCCCGCTGAGCCCTGGTGGAAGGGCGGCAGCTGAACGTCGAGATTCTCAGTAGGATAATGTGTCAGCCCATATCATGTACATAATCTTATCAAGCCCCCCATTCCATCTGATTCCCCACCAAGGCGCTATGTCTAAATTTGGCAAAGAAGACCACCTGTTCCATTTCACCAAGGATAAAGTGTTGTTTCAATTCGTAGTGCCAATGTTTGTGGCCTCTCCCCCGACGCTGATCTCCCTTGGTTTCTTTATCCCAGTCCAGCCCTGCGTGACAATGCCCCTGAAATCGACGCTCCAATCCAGCCCATCACCCGGCCGTTTTATAGCGCATGTGAAAGGTGGATATGTTTCCTTACTATCTGACCCACCCCTTATCCACCCTGTGCCTACGGTTACCTTCTCTGTGATGCGGACTGCCGGCCTGGCGGTGCTCCTGACCAGAGGACTCCGACGAGGGGGTGCGCACGAGGGGAAGGGCGGCGCCCGCTGTAGCAGAGGAGCGCTCCGTTAGTGGTCGGCGCACACACACACGCACACACAGACCGGCACGTCACACACACAGGGTCTCACAGCAGCCGGTCGGAACGGCCGAGAGAGGGAGGGCGCAGGGAGGGAGGCTGGGAGGCCGCGGGTCTAATCGGCACGGACGAACGATAAGGGGGGACGCGGCAGGCCTGTCGCCTGTACAGCATGCGGCAGGGAGGGGCGGGCGGCTGGGACAAACACTCACCCAGCGTGCCGTGGTCGACGTCGGCATGCCATGAGCCCTGCGAGGCCAGCGAGACGGGCGACTGGCCGTAGTAGCCGATCTCAGCCTGCCGCTCGCGCTCCTCGTCAGAGCTGAGCCGGCGCATCCGTTTGACGCGCGGCTCGGCAGCAGGACTGTGCGAGGCGCGCGGCATCGCCAGCGTACCCCCGCCGGCTGTCGGGGCAACGGGGTGTCAGATGACACACCAACACTGACACACTGACACTGACGCTAACACAGCGTACCCCCGCCGGCTGTCGGGGGAACGGGGTGTCAGATGGCACACCAACACTGACACACTGACACAAGGAAAACGCCACCAGAGGACGGTCTGGGGCTGCTGCTGCAGCGCAGGGGGCGCCACAGCCGACATCCGACAACACTGACTACTGAGCCGCCCTGACAGAAGTTCAGCACTTGGGATCAAACCCAGTGGTTCGTCAGCCAGCAAAAGTCTCAAAGAGTCTTCATAGCAAATCCCTGACATTTTGCGTCGGCATAGGACCATGAAGGACCATCAGCCTGTGGTGCAGGGGCAGGGGGGGGGGGGGGGGGCATGGAGGGATGGCTCAGGTTGTATGGCTGAAGTATTCACAGCAGTATCCTAGCCCTGTGGCCGTGAACTGGGTACCGCAGGTACTCACAGTATGCGCCCGAGACGAGCATGCCGTGGTAGTCAGGCGCCGGCAGTGACTATGGCTCGGGTACTCAGGAGGGTGAGGTGTGTGCATCACGGGTACTCACAGTATGCGCCCGAGACGAGCATGCCGTGGTGGTGAGGCGCCGGTAGTGAGTTGGGGACTCCCATTAGGGCCCTACCCCGGTGACCTGTAAGCTCGGGTACTCACAGTATGCGCCCGAGACGAGCATGCCGTGGTGGTCAGGCGCCGGCGGCGTGTAGCTGCTGCAGTAGTAGTTGACCGACGAGTTCTCCACCTTGATGGTGGTGAGCGTGGCCGGACTGATCCCGTTCGGCGAGACAATTGAACCTGTGTGACAGTCAGACAGTCCGACAGTTAGACAGGACTGTGCACCATACAATCAAGACATATCCAGACAGTCGGACAGGGTATGACAGGACCGAGTAGGTGGACAGGCAGACAGGGCCAGACGGAGGCGGATTCAGAGCAACCTGACTTGACGGACACTGTCGGGCAAAGCCGTGACCGTTGAGTTACATGACGGAGAGAACAGAAGACGTTCCAGCATGCAGAGTTGAACCCACACACCGTGGAATACGGATTTGGAACCAAAAGCCAGAACACACAAAGTTCAGACACAAAATCCGACAAGAGAACATGGGGTTGGCTACACGAACAAACTGAGTCAGGGTCGGACGAAACCAGCGAGCAACAACAGTCAGTCGATACTCGGCAGGTCGCCTGAATCACCGCCCGACAACTGACTCAGACATTCAGTCAGTCACCGACAGCCGTGTGATCCGTCAGCGCTGTATCTTCACAGCTCTACCGAGCGACGCCCCAGTCCCGGCTGGCTGGCAGCGGAGCAGATCGACGTCACAAGGCCAGAGGGCGCGGGGTCAGGTCAGCGGCCCACCCACTCACACCGACACAGAGAACGGAAAAACCCGGACCGAACAACACCCTCCCTGGCGGCGGTTCAACATCGAGACAGCGAACTTGAGATGTTCGAACAACAAACATCGAACGTCAGCAACAGCTAGTTAGTGAAATGAGATGACAGAAATACCCAGAGCCTGATGAAAACCTGTTTATGTGAGTGTGAAAAAAAATCAACATGCTCTAAACATATTCTACATTCCAATCTCGAAATAAAGAGATGGCTTGGGAAACCCATTTTCAAAAGCAAGCTCATTAGTCATAACTGATCTCCAAACTTTGGCAGATAGTTGACTGAAACCACTTCAAAAAGGGTAGGTATGTAGTTACCTAATTAAAACATAAATTTCACTTCAGCGATTAGGTACTGACATTTGGTCAGCACCAAATGCCACCAATAATTCTAAGGTGTTTATTTGTAATTGCTGCAGTTTGAATCTCCCACGATTATGCAGATATGCGTTGCAAAAAATTATCTCCCCCTTACTCTAGCGTTTTGCGGCTTGAGAATCCCGACATTTCTCAGAAGTCCGATGCTCCGGAGAAGATAACAAACGCACAATTTTCTAAAGTGGAAACATTCCCCTGGTCTATAACGGAATGGAAGAAAATTTCATAAAAGGGTGTTGATGTCAGGTTTTACTCGTTTAGAGCGCAAAAAATTACCTTGTTCCCACCTCCTAACGTTAATTCTCCTCTAAATGAGGCGTTTGACGCAGGAAACCACCGCGGCCGCTATCGCTAACGATCCTCCAGGGCGGCCCATTCGGATGGGTCCCGTCTGAAGCGGCGAGGGGAGGCTGAGATAAACCCTTCCTCCCCCGTGTCCCGTCCCCAGTCGCGATCATTTGCCGCGGCGTCTGTCGGCGGGGGAGTCCGCCGTCCCTGCGGGGTGCATTAATCGAACACATCGGCCGATAGCCGGGTTCGTGCCGGCGACTCCGAGTCGGTTCAGGTGCCCGGGGCTGGGTATCAGTGTAGACAGTCTCAAACCACTACCGTCTCTATTCTGGGCTTTATCACTCTACTTCAATTTACACTTCGCTTCTCAGATTAAGACAGAATTCAGGGTCTTTTGAACAGATTGACTTCAGACGTGTTCAAACAATGCTGATATACTAACGTTAAATTCACACTTTTTCACATCAAGAGGGTTTAAGTGCAATACACACCTCACTATAGATGCAAAGACCATCCACGTGCTGCAGATCTCGCCTTGGCTTGTTCCGAGCAGAGGGGCAATAGCGGCTCATCCCATCCACTAAGCCATAAGCACCACGGCGAGGAATCCTGCCGCACGAGCGACTAACCAAGCAACCAAGCTACCTGTCTTGACACACGCCAACCACAATGGTTTGTGGTTTTACGGAACCGTTCTCCTACTGTGCATGATGTCACAGTCGTGTTCCGATGACCTGTCCAGACTATGAGCAAACGAGTTCAAAAGTCGAAATTAAGCCAGGATCAGACTTCTCACGAGGACTTCAACGTGACGTGGTAGCTCTCACAAACCACATATCTTGCCAATGAGATCAATATTTCGAGCCCTTAACATTTCGAAAATGAGTCCTAACCAGTCTTCAAGGATTTAATCCTCTTCTCAATAACCCGACGCAAAGCCTAAAAACTTGACAGAAACATCTAAAACGGCTGCACACGATTGCACCGTTCAGTAAGCCCAGCACGATCTGATCTATTCGGTTGAGGTCTCGCCACGCGGTACGATAAGGAGGTCACACACCAAGGCCGGTCCGACGTTCATTATTCATAACGCCTTGTCCAGGTCACCGTCCACTGACCGCGGCTCTGTGCAGTAATCGAGACGGGTCCGTGTTGGAGCGAGCGCCGTGGGCGGCGGCGGGCCTCCAATGCAGCACTGCACGGTATCTGGGCGGGGCGGGCGGCTCGGCGGCCGGCCGGCGCACCGTCGGACCGACAGAGTACTCGGCGGGGGCGCCTCTCAGGCCAACAAAGCGGCTAATGTGCGCCCTCGGCGCCCGGGAGGCGACACGCACGTCGTCGCGGATCCATCATCTTTACGGCGATGTTTTCGGGCGGCCAGATCGGCGGCGGCGAGTTCATTTCCCGGCGGCGGCTGGCGGCTTCCGTGTGCCGACTGTCGCTGGAGAGCAGTCATTAGTGGGCGGCGGCGGCGGCCCATCCATCGCCGCGCACCGGGCCGCCACCGCCACCGGCCGGGGCGGCAAGGGTGACACCGCCACCGGCAGGGCGGCAGGGGTGTCACACTGACACCGCCAGTCGGGAAGGGTGGCGCAGCTGTGCTGTATCATAGGCGGCCAAGACAGTCACCGCCGGGCACCCGTCAATATGTCATTGACCGATTTTGATCGACCATTCGAAGCTTTACCACGCCAAGCTCCATCACATATTCAATGCGGCAGAGGGATCATTATAAATTAAATGGACCTAACAAAATCACGTGAGAAATCGAACAATTGTATGAGCAGAAACGATGTTCGTGCCACAATTTTGTGCCATCTCTTTCGGCGCCGCACGGTGCACGTGGAAGCCGTGCTCTCCTCGCGGTGCACTGGTACAGCCGGCTCGGCGGCGTCAGGCCGGCCGGCCGGCCACCACTGCGTTCCGTCCGGCCAGGGGGCGGGCGGCTGCCGTCGGCCCCACCGGCGGTAAGTTATACAGGCCGGCTGCTGACGAGGCGCCCCGACGGAAGGAGCCTGATGGGCGGCAGCCGCGCCGCCGCCGCGCACAGACAAATCACGGCCGTGGGTGACACCCAACTCCGCCCGCGGGGAGCCGGCGGAGCCCGGGCCGACCGAGAGCACCCAGGGGAGCGGTCATAAGGGCCGGACCTCAGTCCGACCCACGGGAGAGGCAAGTCGGACTCGCTGACCGACCGTCGAGAACCCAGGGGAACGGTCATAAGGGACGGACCGGAGGAGACCCACGAGAGCGGTCAGTCGGACCGGGTGACACAATGGTCGTCACAAATTCGGTTCGGTCAACTATTACCAAGCATTAGAATGCATTGGTAAGCATAAATAATGTAGCCAGTAGGTTCAAGGGAGAGAAAACTGAGATAAAAATGTAAAAGAAAAAACGAACGATTCAAAGGGGAAAAAACTATAAAATGGTACAAATACTAAAAAGAACAAAAAGAAAGACCATGCACATAAAAAGCAGCAACGGGTCGAACAACTAAAAATACCTTGAACCAGGCAACGCAAAGAGGGACTGAGACACCTTTTTCGTTATAACTACTATTTTACCTACCGCTATGTCAGAATCGTGCCGCCCTCCCCAAATATTATGTAACACCAGACGGGCCCATGGTGTTCTTTCGTCAGTCGCGCATTAGTCCTGCAAAGTGTTCGACTTCGAGAGTCCTGAGGTCTCCCCCATCATTAGCCGCATTGTGAATTACAGTGTTCCTGTGCTGATTGGCTATGCTTTTGTATCTTACATTGTTCCCCAGCTAGTTTCGCTGTATTTATTGTATTCCACCACATTTCCCCTACTAGCCCCCTGCCCCATTGCGAGTTACACAATATCCCCCACTCGCCGCAATGTGAAAATCCCCATAGAGCCCTTCTCCGGCCGCGCTATGAGAATACCCCTAACGTTCCCGCTAGCCACGCACAGTGTGAGTATCCCGTCCAATCTGGGTGCGTCTCGTTAGCCCGGCCACAATAGGGTCCACCGTCCACTGCCGGCTGGACGCTCCTGGGCCACCTCTCATTGCGAGCAGGCTAATTATACGACACAAGAGGAGGCAGCGACTGGCCGGTAGGATTGGGGAGCGGTGATCCCCTCCTGACGACTATAGGGTTCGAGAAGCCACCCTAAGCTAGTACGCTCTGCCTGTAGGAGCTGCGACGGGGCCCAGGATTTAACCCGCGCCCCACTGGGGTCTGTGTATAACACGCCCTACTGGGGGGGGGGGGGGCTATTCATAGCCCCCCCCCTCCTAACTCCGAAACTACTGGGCCGATCGTCAAAATTCAAACGGCGTCTGATAGCCCCGGAAAATCTGTCGAACGAAACCTAATTTCATTGACCTCGAGGTCACCGATGACGTCACAGGTCAGGTCAAAGTAAACATTATTAGCACTTTGGCTTGTTCACATTTTGGGCTCTGGCCGCCGTCTTACAAGTCAGATCAGGCTCATTTTTGGTTTCCACACTCGTGAACAGATGCTCTAGATACCTTGCGGGTACCAACCTTGTACTTTGATTTTCAGGTCAGGGTCAGGTCATCACAGGTCACGAAAATATTATATCATGCGTCGGTCACGTGACACATGTTTTATGGTCCATTTAGGCCATAGATTTCGAATTTCATGTCGTCTATGTCATTCGAGGTCATTTTGAGTCGAATTTAGCTTAGGTCAGGTCACTTTCAGGTCAAAAAAGGTCAAATTTTGAAGTTGAAATTTTTCAACAAAAAAGGTGTCTATTGGATGCAGTTTGAGCTCAGGAACACGATGGTGCCATTTATATTGGTGTACGATGCCAAATACGTACTGAAAAATTGATTTGAAAAATTAATAATTGTGAATTTTTTGCAATAATGCGTATAACTTGGCCATTTTTGAAGATATTTAGCTAAAACTTGCTAGAGTTAGTCATAATCATGCGTTCTGTTACATATATTCCGTTTTTTCGAAAAGTCAAAAACCTTTTGAAAAAAATATAAAAATATAAATTTTGAATATTATTATATACAATTTTCGAAATTTTCAAAATTTTGAAAATCCGAGATAGCAGTTTCATAGCGCGGTCAATTCTGAGTTCTTTCATGCAAAGAAATTGGATCTAGCTTAAAAACTGAGCTCTTGGGAGCGATTGCCGTGGTTCAATGTTTTGCGTCGAAATCGGACGAACATGACGTCACTCTGACGTCATTTCCGGCCGACCTATGGTAGGTACGAAGTTCAAATTTTGACACAAGGTGTCAAATTGATGCAGCCGAAGGTACTGAAAGTTTGGCGTCGATCCGTCAAGCGGTTTGGAAGTTATTGCAGAAAAACGGGAGGGGGGGCTATAAATAGCCCCCCCCAGTGGGGCGCGGGTTAATTTGGAATTTTCCTATCTAAAGACGTTTGAATTTTCTTAACTTTATGAAAAAGACTGTGCGAGCGTAAACGAGGTCGCAACTCGGCATCCTTGAATCTAGGAACTGACACGCGAGCTTGGTAAAGTTGACTTGTTACAATACTCGGGACTGGTGTTAGGGAATGTTGCAGCGCTGTAAATACGTACCGTGGCGATAGTAGCGCTAGATCCCGACTTGACAATATCTACAACCCTACTATAGACCCATATTTCAGTTCATAACATACTACGAGCAAAGTGCATCCCAAAATCCTGAACTATACGACTGTCATTCAATCAGATCCAATCTGCCTGGCCGTTCGGTTCGCCCGGATGCTCTTCTCGCAGCGCTTGGCCGCCGGGAGACGTCCCTCCCCGGTCCTCCCCCAGCCCGTGAGCGGCAGCTGTTCCCCGCGGCTGACTGCACCGCCACCACATCGGCCACACACACAATACAGACGACCCGCAATCGGGCGGCGACGACCGCGCGCGCCTTTTATGATCCAACTTGAGAAATTGGGCGCGCCTTGATAAACCTGCGATACGCGAAAATAATCCCCCTGCCCGGTTACGACGGCATGCGTGGAATAAATCGGTCGGAACGGAGGGGACAGGGAGCACGGGGAGGGGGAGGGGTGGGAAGGGTGGATCGGCGGCGGACTGGCGTGGATCTGCGGTTGGGCTCGCGCGCTGAAGACTGGTGGGTGGCGGCGAGGTGTCAGAGATAAAGTTCCCGTGGCGCCGTCGGGGATCAGGTGTAGAGAGCTCACAGGGATCGCAGGATAGGACCGACGAGTCAGACGGGTCATTCCCCAGTCGCACGCCCAAAAGCCGCACCTCAGTCCACACTCGCACACAGGACTCTACGAAAAGCAAACGCTGCCAAAAGAAGGGAAAAGATGAATATAAAACGCCAGGCTATGCGCACGTTTCCGCGATTGAATTTTGTTCCCCTCCCCCCATACATGACCTCAGCCAATAAAGTGTCCGATTTCTTTCTCAGTCAGCTAAAAGAATTTAAACGCCATTCACCTCCTACACAAGATCCATTTACACATATCACTCATTACTTTTGTTCACACAGCAGAATCTGGTCTGCTCCCCCGGCACTTACCTTTGGAGAGTCGCCACAGTTCTGCCGACGAGAAGACGCCCGTGGTCATAACGGTGTCGTTGGGAAGCACGCCGGTGTACGGGTTGTGGTTGTAGTGACCTGGCGACACAGCGCGCCACACAAATTATATAGAGGGCGTGATGAGAGGGGTAATGTGACTGCTTAACTCCACACAACCCCCAATATCCCTGAGCAACGTCACTCGCGAGCCACAGGACAGAACTGTTCCGCTTGAATGGTGCAAAATTATCAGCTCAGCGAGTCATTTCATCGGAACTAAGCAATGCAGCGATTTCAAAACGCATGCTAATAAATGCATCTACAATTAAAATAAAATAAAATGAATCGCATATGATCGAGGAAAAAGGAACAAACCGCTATTCAGATAAATATCGCTCACAACGCAACAAGACGGTCATAAAGGTGCGGCGATTAATTTCCACATGGTTTCGCAAAAGCTTACTGCAATATCTCAATCACTCCTTTCCTCCGCCCAAAACCTCATTGCCGTCCTGATGAAAATGACCCCACGTGCCGATCGGGTAGCCTAGTTCCCTTCCCTTGACCCCAGACACCTGTCGTAATGTCTCTCTGAAATGCGTGTGTGCGCGTATGTGCGTGGCAGTAATGGACACCCACCCATCACGGGTCGGCCCTCAGGAGCTGGCCCCACCTGTCACAGATCAGTCCGCCACCAGTCACAGATCGGTTCAACCGTCACAGGTCGGTCCGCCACCCGTCACAGTTCCGTTCAACCGTCACAGGTCGGTCCGTTACCCGTCACAGGCAGGTCGGCACGTCTCGGCTAATGGTTCGTCTGTCACGGATGGCGTCCAGCGAGCCACGCAGAGCGGGAAATAAATTAATGACATCTCTGTTTATTTTGTGACCTGGACCCGGGCCAGGCCGCCGGATCACCGACCAATTTCGCAAAACGGCCCGCACTGCGCCGAGTGGAGACGCCAGACGCGCTACGACCCCGTCGCAATTGGAGGACATAAAAACAGGAAACAAAAACAATACGGCAGAAAGATTACAGATTAACCGGAAAATAAAAGCAGACGGGAGCCCTTCTTGATGCTTCATCAGCGCGTTTACAGCTTTCCACGATGTCTATCAGTGTGCTCGGAGTGTCTTCGACAGTGTCGAAGAACTTGCAGATAGTTCTACTTCGCACTAGATGCATCTAAAGTTCATCTAGAAACGAATTTATTCTTGAAGAGAATCCGGACATCTCAACATAGCCGCCTACAGCACGCACTCGGCGATCGTGCGACCGCGCGCACAGCGCAGTCATGGATTAGGTATTTGGCGCAGTTCTCCGCCTCGAGCTATGCGGCACAGCATCACCGCAGGCGCCTACCACTAACGCCATCTATGCACGGAAGTTGGAGTTACTGAGAGCCGCCGCCCTCTTATCCCCGATATTCCAGGAGCAGGGAGCAGCGAGTCGCCAGGACTTGAAGGATTAAAACTTAAGAACTTGGTAAAACAAGCAATGCTCTTCCTACTATTATCTTATCTTGTACAGTTAATAGCAATCATACTCGTGCCATCCGCCCCGCTCGGCGTCACTCCCCTGTGGCGTTCAGCAGCTGCCAGCTGCCAGGGGATGGCTGCGTCCCCAGCTCGGCTGGCCGCCGTCACCTCGCCAGGCCACGACACTTGGCCGCCGCCACACATGGATTTTGGCACCGCACGGGACGGCGTGAGTGCGCGTGGGCACCGGCACGGGTGGTGGCGGCGTCGGCACACATGTGGCTGTTGGCGGCCGACCGGCACACTCTTGGCCGCCGCCCGGGCTGGAGCCGCGCGCCGCGCCGCCGGCCAGTTGGCATTAATTGGAGGGTCAGGGGCGGCCATTCACGAGGGCGCAGAGGGGGCGCTACGATGACGATCGTCGTGAGTAGGTGACGGCGCGGCTCGGTTTGCCAGGGGACGACTCACGCTGCTCGGGGTGGCACGTGCCGGGGAGCTGAGCGCGCAGCGGAGTCATTCACTCAGCGCCAAGAGCGGGTGGTCCGAGATGAACCACGCTATGCGGGAGACAGGCAACCAGACGTAGGAGACAGGCCATGATACGTGGGAGGCAGGCCACGAGGCGCGGGAGGCAGGGCATGAAATTTAGGAGACAGATCACGGTACTCGAGTCTCAAGACACAGAGGGAAGGAAGCAGGCACATTCAGGCCGCGATCGTATCTCCGATACAGACACCATGCACGGGATCAGCACTGACAGAAATAATTTGAGGGCAGAAAGGACAGGACAGGGCCGGCCTTTCGGACATTCTCACGCTGGGCTGAGAGAGATGCAGACATACAGAGACAGAGAGGCAGGCGGACGGGCTGACTGACTAGCGGGCGTGCAGAGGCGGCTCACCGTAGTGGAAGCAGCCGCTGAAGTCGGCGCCCGGCCACTGCTGCAGGTACATGGCTGGGTGGTGGTGGTTGTGGTGGTGGTGGTGGTGGCCTGCCACCCACACACGAAGCCACAGCGGAGCGGGGAGGCGGGCACACGGCGCGCGAGAGAACAGGCAGACGGGTTAGTGAGTGAGGTGGGGCGGCGGTGCGGGCAGCCATAGAGCAGCGCAAGCACACCGGGTGAAGAAATGAAAAGAAGAAAAAGGAAATATGAGAAATTATGCAAAAGAAAAATAGATAAAACATAGAGAAAAGACAAAATGGCAAGGAAAAAAACGGAAAGCTCAGAAAAGGAGATAGAGAGAAATAAAGGCGGGAAAGATTAAGAGAGAAATGAAATTAGAGAAACAAAAGAGGGTTTGTGAGCCTGCAAGGCGTCGCAGCAAAACGGAGACAGAAGGGCACACCAGGTGAACAAGACAGCCATGTTAGTGGGGTCACGCAACATATTGAAGGATTTAAGCTTTCAAAAAGTATGCTGTTAGTTGACAGAGTGCACACGGTTAGCGGGAGAAGCACACACCAAGCCAGTAACCAAAAGGTGACAACAGAGACCGACGTTCCCTGCACCAGCCGTTCCCTGCACCAGCCGACCGCCGTTCCCAGCACCAGCCGTCGCCAGCGAGCACATGACCGTGGTGGAGAGGAAAGAACAGGCAATGGAGTGGTAAACGGTATGTATGAAATAAATTCGAGTAACATCGATGGGAAATGTTGTTATTCACAAATTCAGTGAAAGATAATCCACAGCCAAAAGCTCAGCTGGCGGACATTGGGAACGATGCGGCTACAATCGGGTCAAAATCAGCCAATCCGGAGGCGGCAGTTTGCTGTTTTCCACTGCTCGCCCTACGCACATGAGGTGTTGGCTGTACGGGTTTGAGGCATCCAATACTTTGTGAAGCCCTTCCCCAGTAAAACTCAGTGTTATATAACATCCGCTTCGGTTAAGCCCCGAAGAGCAGTTGATAAGCTGGGGAGATCGCGATGAAGTCGGACAGAACAGCCCCATACTAAGGGAGTTAAATGGACAGTTCGGCGAGCAAAGTCGCCGTTATCCCACCGAAAGACAGTGGGCGGCGCTCTAAGTGGGTCGGCCGGTGGCGGTGGGCGGAGCTCAGGGGGTGGGTCGGCCGGGGGCGGTGGGCGGAGTCCAGGGGGTGGGTCGCTCGGGGGCGGTAGGCGGAGTCCACGGGTGGATCGGTCGGGGGCGGTAGGCGGAGCTCGGGGGTGGATCGGCCGGGGGCGGCGCCTCAGACGCGCGCCGGCAGCCCCCTGTCGCCGACGTCCACCAATCATCTATCATCGTTGCTATCAGCACCGGCACTGGCGCAGGGGCCGCGGCGGAGCTGGGGATGGGGCTGGGTAACTAGTTCTTAGGGGGGGGGGGGGCTAAGGCTGGGTTGGAGCTGGAACTAGGGCAGGGCTGTCGCTGTAACAGCGGCTACGCCTGCTGCAGCAACTCTGGCTAGGGCTGGAGCTCTGGACGCCGGACGGAATCTGAGTGTGACTGAGGCTGCGAATGGAGCCACTGCACGGTCTTGCCGAATACCAGATTAGCGCGAATTTAATCAAAAACCCGACTTTCGATAAACTGTTATTTATACCTATCAGTGGGTAGGAAATTGTCTGAAGTTATCGGATAGAACCTTATTTTTAAGCCACTTTACCATTTGAGGACTTATATCCCTGCCGAAAGTAGACCCACGCTCCGGTTCCTAAAATCGGGCTATGGTACTGATAAATATGTCCAGTTTTCAACGTAAATTTTACGGAAGTTTCGAGAAGATATATGAGAAAATAGCATATCACCGGATAGCACAATTCATGATGAAGCTGTTTCTGCTATCATGGTAGCTTTTCAATGAAGGGTTTTTGAGTTTAATGAGTTAGAACAAGAGCCCTGCATGTGTATCGTTCTCACGATAGTATTTAATAAAGAAGTTGAAAAATGTCAAAATGGATAAAAATGGATATGACGAATAGGGCATGGCTGAACTCTCCGCACCTTTCTGAACATAAGCGAGCAAGTTTCAGTTGCCAGTTTTTGCCTATTTGCCGTCAACTCAGCTTTGAACATGTCTAGTCGGCCGCCCTATGTGACCTGACCAAGGTCGGGGGCGGCGCGGCCGGACAGGCTCCAGCCTAATAAACTATCTCAAGCACACGAAATCGTGATTTCATGCACTCCTTGCAAGGTCCGATGCTTCACTTATGCATTGTTGGTCTTACGTGACGTCATTTATGACGTCACTAGGGTAATAAGAGTTTTTCGTCAATAACTCCCGATTAAATTGAGCTAGCGAGTCGAGAAAGCCACCAATGGACTCAGGAAGACTTGCCGAATCGAATGATATGCAACATGACCTCCTTCAACCAACTTCGTGATCTGGAGGACTCTGACCTGACCTTGACCCACGGTCAACACCTTAAGTTAACTTCAGCCGAACAAAAGTATACCATTCGACGCGCCTGAGTGAGGCGAACATGATGATACCAAAATTGCGGCTCTGCGGCATTTTTTCGCGAAGTTATTAATAAAAAATGAATCCGCGCCTAGTTCACTTGACCTGACCTCAGAGGTCACAGGCTGGCCTGAGACCTTAAAATCGGATACCAGTCGCTGCGTCTCGTAACGGCGCACACGCTCGTTTTTTTCCGCGGGGCTCTAGCACCATCAGGGGCGAAACAGCGACTGGGGTCGTACCAACCCCCCTCCCCCCTTCGGCCGGCGCGTATTTTGAAAACCAATAAGTCCGGCGAGGGGTAAGTGTCAGTTTTGGAACCAGAGAACCATTTCCAGTGGATCCGAGCGGCGCTGGGATTAAATTCGCGCTAAACTGGTGTTCGGCCACACTGTGCACTGGTCTGGCTGATACCAAGGCCGAGACTGAGGCTAAGGATGGCGCCGATGCGCTCTATGGGCCGACTCTGATGTAGCCCGGGGCACAGTTGGGTGCGGTGTTTTGGCTGCCGGCGGCGGTAGCCGTCCGTTGGGCGGCAGCCAGCCGGCGGCCGGTCGCGGCTGGCGCGCTGCCGCCCGCCGCGCCCGTCCCTTTCTGTGTCGCCGCCGGCCCAGTGCGCCGCGACGCCTGATTAGTTGGCACCGATCCGACCGGCCCCGTCGGCGCCGATAGATGCCGACCCCCGGCCCCCGGGACGGCAAAGAAGACAGAAATTCCCAACTGCAGCGCCAGGCCACGGGCCGAGTTCATCCGACGAAACCGCTTTCTTAGAGCAGCATGTTAGAATGCAACTTATCCGGTTTCGTCAGTTATTTACCGGATTTAAATATCGGGTCAGATTATTATTTGGTGAAAAGAGCAGATAAGGGAAGCTTACGAGCGACTCTGGATTGGTGACGTCTTAAAAAGCCAATGGCATTGAGGATGCGGACTAGGATCCTGCACAATTTCAAGAATTTCACTGATGGTATACCTACCAAGATCATCTGAACAACTGATGCCATCGATAACAAGATTATCTGATTTCTTCAAACATCAATTCAATATGGTTCAATGGTGTTTTTTTTTTCTTCTCGAACTGAAGCTGACGCAGAAATCAACTGCAATGGGATTGAACTTTTATATGAACGTTTGGTTCTCGCTACGCATTCATCCATTGCTCAATGCTCATGTTCACGGGTTTCCCTGAAAGCCAATACATTTCAAGCGATCCTATCTTCCTGTGCGTTTGCAGATCTCAGCCGTGTGCGCAGGCTCTACCACCCGCGATAGCACCGGATGCCTCCCGCCCATCAGAGGAGCGCCGCCCGCCGCAGCCCGCCCATACCGACTTCAGAAGCAGCCGCAGCGACTGCCGCAGTGCCGCGCCGGCTTGCCACAGAGGCGGCGCTGTGTCGGCGCCACATGCAAATGTCGGCGTCGACGGCGTTTTCGAGCCCTTTACGACGCAATAGCGGGACGACGCGTGCGACGGTGAGCGGCGCCGTTTGGCGCGCGCCCAGAGTCGTCTGCAACAGAGCTCGGAGCCGCGACGGACGGGCCGTTTTAGCCGCGGCCCCCTCCTCCTGAGCTGCGGTTCGGCTGAGGTGCGGCCGCTGCGGACCGCCAGCCGGCCAACAAGTGCCGCTCCCCGGCTGCCGCCGAGCTCGTTTGGCCGCTCGGCCGCCTTGGAAGCGGTCCTGCTGGCGCCGACCGGCCGCGGCCCACCCTCCTCCCCCGAAATTTGGCCGTTTGTCGGCATTTTTCCTGGCGATGATCCCTGGCGCATCTCCCCGGACGAAACAACCACCATGGATCTTGGCATGGGGATGCCCTCATAGGCAGATGTAAATATTGGCTCCTTTTATTGGCAAAGGGCGGCGGTCGGTGCTGGCGAGCTGGGCCGGTTCGCACAGAGCGTGGCCAGCAGGGGCTGAGGAGGGAGCGCGACCGCCGCCGGAGCGGCCCAGTGGCAGCTCGACAGTGACACGACTGGTCAGCACAGTGAGAACGGTGGGTCGACCGCCCGTGTGTTCAGGAGGGGAGTGTGACGGCTGTTGGTATCTGAACTGAGAGCGTCTACCAGCGGAGGTCGGCCACCGCAACCCCCGCAGACGGCACGTCCGGCCGGGCCCGGCGCGAGGGCCGCCTGTGCGCCACTGCATCCGCCGCCGGGGGGCGAACCGACACCTGCCGACGCCCCGGCGGTCCGGGGACGCCGCTGCCGACGCTCGTCGGAGCCGGCGGCGGCGCCATATTTGGTGCGCCGGGGGGTCTCCGGTGACCTGCCGGCCGGGCTCAGCGGCGGCCCGCCCGCGACCCCCGCGTCTGTGGGCCCGCTCCAAACTCTGGCGGCCCTTCGGCTCCTCCGGCTCCCGGAGAGGTCTCAGCCGCAGGGAAACTCACTGCAGCTGCAGCAGGAGGGACGCGCCGGCGGCGGCCGGCCGCTCCGCGGGGCCCACCTCGCCGCGGCGCGTGTATTTCGGGCCGCGCAAAAATAGCCTGACACCGTTGGCAGGGGGCCATCGCGGCGATTCGCCGGTGCAGCGGCGGCGCCCGCGGCCTCACCGGAGCCCTGCGCTGCCTCCGGGCGGACGGCGCACGGGCCGAACGGCGGCTCGCGGCGCACAGCGGACGGGTGCCCGGCCTGTCATCGGAGACCGTGGCGGCCACGGCCTCGCCGGCCGATCGGTGGCGATAAGACCCGACCGCAGAGTCATCTGACCGAGCCGAGGGCACTGAACTGCCGTCAGAGTCGTGCAGGGCAACTCTACTGTCTCCGTTACACACAAGCATTCAATCAGATTCGTCCTCAGGTACATGGACAAGGAATGAACGTCTGACATCAGAGTCGAATCATTCATTCATGAATTTGTCATTCTTCTTAGAAAATACATAGGTGGGATTATCATCAATCTTTTAAAGTTCAACCACATTTTCTCTTTGATAAGTTTCTGAGGCATTTGACCAGTGAATGAATGTAAGCACAGTAAAAAAGCTACAAATAATGAAGTTGATATGGGGAGGCAGAACAGTGCAACTAGAGATGTGAAGTCAGGCACTCACCATGCTCAGTTCTCAGAACTGAGCGGGCGGGGATTCAGACATCTGCTGAGCATGAGTATGTAGTGCGGGGGAGGAAGGGGCTCCTGCCGCGGAGGCGCGGGCGCGGCCAACTCATGGTGCGGCCGTGCGCGAGCGGTGGGGCAGGGGAGTAGGGGAGGGGAGAGTGCACACTGTACCTGTCTGCCAACGCCGAGACAGGACGAGGTCGGCCAGACCTGGCCAGTGCTGGGCGCCAGGAGTCCAGCACGGTCGGGTGGCACGGTCCACTCAGCTCAAGGCAGGGGACTTGCGGGGGCTTAGCTTTTAACTACCGAGCCGGACTGGAAGCTACCGGCCAGCCATCAGTCGGGTTACCAGCCGGTCCGACAGCCACCCACGCCACCGATCCCACAATCCCTGTGGGGGTGGGACCACCGCACGGCACGGTCGGAAATGGGACCACCGCACACCCATCACGGCAAGGTCGGGGCGGGACCACTTCAGAGCCGGCTCTGCCGTGGGGCGTGCTCCGGTGCCGCGCCGTACCGCGCCGTGCCCTGACCGGCCGGGCCTCTGACCCGGTTCGCCGTGGTGCACGCCGAGACGCCCCCGCTCTCTCGGCCGGCGCGGCGCCTCCCTGGCGAAACGCGGCCGGGCCCGGCCGGTGAAAACGGCGCCGTGGCCAGCCGGATGCGGCCGTCCCCGATCGGCGCCGGACACAGCGGACCAGAGCGGGTCTGGGAGAGAGAGAACCACGGCCCGCCCGTGTCGGCAACAGGTCCGGCCGGCGACCGTGTCCGGGAGAGCGGCCCACCCGACCCCCACCCACTGGGACTGCCGTCCACCGGGGCAGACCGACTTGGTATCACCGTCTGAGAGTCACGGCACCATCAGTCGCCCAAGCCCGCGGACCAGACCGCCGACTCCGGCATGAAGTCATCTCCTTTCCCCTCTAAAACGTTCAGTCTTCTGTCGCCTTTTCTCGGGAACGATCCTTTTCCACAGGGTCACTCACTATCCTGAACCATGGACGGTCCACAACGGGTTATCCGCCTCACTCATGCCTCCTTTTCACGCGTTACTCTTCTGACCTCTCTTTTTCGCCTCAGCTGTCGCCTTCTGCCCCATCTCCCTATGACTGTCCTGAGTATCCCACCAATGGGTCACTCACTGTCACCCCCAGGCCACGACCGTCCCACCGCAGAGTTACGCGTCCCCTCCCGACTCTCCCTCACAGCCGTCCCAGCGCGGGGTCAGCCGGTCTCACCCGTCCCATCATCGATAGCTCGCGCCACGTGCGGCTAACGACAAAGTGATACGGATGCCCGTCTCCGGCCGCCTCCCCCCGGCAGCGGTCCCTCTGGCACCGTGCCGCCGCCGATCACTGCCGCTGACGCACGGATGAATATATTATCGGACGATTCTGATTAGCCAGCATTATTTTAACGACGGCCCAGCCGGCCGGAAGAGATGGTCGCTGCAGACGCGCCGTTATTGTTTACCCTCTCGCGGCGGACGGTGGGGAGAATCGCGCCGGAACTGGCCGACCGCGCCGGCCGAGCCGTCGTCGCCGCGCTGCCTCCGGTGGCCGCCGCGCGTCCGATGAACCGGCGGCCCCCATTTCCACTGGGCTCGAGGCCAGGTAAATTTAGCCGGCGCTCGCTGCCGCTGCGCCGCCGCGCCGCTCCGCACGGCCGTGACACAACATCGGCGCCGCCATACGATAGCCGTACGCAAAAAATAGCCCGGCGCGCGGCGGCCGTAACGCGCGCGCCTCGGCTCGCCTCTGCCGAGCGACGGGGCGCGACGTGGGGCCGTGCCTTGTCACGGCGGGTACCAGTTGGGAGAAGTCCAGCGGCCCAGTGGCCCCGTACCGGCGCCGCCGGCACTGCTGGCAGCCCCTTGGCGCGCTGCGTGCCGCCGGCTGCCAACATTCCGCGCGCGCGGCGCAGGGACAAGGGCACCGGGCGGCCGCGCGCGGGAGGATCAGCGCGGCAGGTGGCGACAGGTCCGTGAGACCCGGGCCGGGCGGGTCTCGGCACCGGAAGGGGCCGCGGAACTCGCCGGGTCAGACCGGGTCCGCGGCTGTTTGTGTCCGTCCTGGCAGCCGCTGTCGACCGCAGAGAGCCTTCTCCTGCTGTTTGGACGTAGCTGCCGGGTCCGGCCCCTCTGCTGGCGCAGCACTGGGCTGGTCTGTTCAGTGGCGAGCATCTCTCGAGGAATGACGGGCGGGACTGCCGAGAAACTCATCCCTCTTCCGCTCACAACAACCGCTCACTGCTCCCTGGAAGACGCACTGTTTTTCTTCCCAAAAACAATACATGGCCTATCTTCGCCGAAAGTGCTCAAAGCCACTGATTCAGTATACGAATGCTCTGTCGAAGCGGTCTCACTAGGACTGCTGTTGTTGGCAGTGGCGAGTTGGATTGCCCCATGACTGATGAACATCACTCAGAGCCGGATCGACGAGCTTCCGAATAGGTCAAATATTGGGCCTAGTTCTCTATGATTTAACCTAGGGAGTATGCAGTATCCTAACGTGACCTAGCCGCTCAACTACGGGAAATGATTTCGTCGTTATTAGTTGTAATTCATAAGACAGTTTCACAGTTATTCGTAGTGTCTCAAAGCGCAGCGGTTTAAACGAAGTGAAATAAATAATAAATTGCAATGCACATACTCGTAGCAACTATCAGACGTAGCTTACGTAACAGTCTAGAAGGAGATCAACAACAGTTTACATATCATTTAAATTTCAATACCCTATCGCCTTTTTAACGCCGTTACCATCCCTGTCGCTCGCGCCGTGAGCTTTCCGCCCCTACCACGCCTCCCGAGCCGGAGCGCAATAAAGGCTCCAAGCATCGACGATAAATCCGCCCGGTAGCAAGCAATTAGCGATTAGTGCGACGTCTATAAACCAGCTTGGACCCGAGGGTTGACAGCTAGGTGAGCGCGGCTCGCGGGACGGAAAACGGGGGAGAATGAAGATGAAGGGAGCGGCGGCAGGCCGGGGTGGGGAGGAGAGGAGAGGCGTCGAGACTAGGTCTCACCTTTGCTGACGAACCGGTCGTCGTTCTCCAGCTCTGAGCCCTCGCACGTGTTACCCGGGATGCTGTCTGAAAAGACAGAGCATCGCACGTCAGGACGGCATGGTCTGGTCAATGTAAAGCATCACTGACAGGCACCAGCAGCAGCATCAATTCTCAACTCAGAACGGTAGACTTGCGTCAGCGCGCTAACGCCTGGCCAGGCTAGTGCGGTTAGGTCAGCGCATCAGCGGCATGTCACTAGCTTCCCCGGTAGTAGCTTATGAGATTTCCAATTCCTACCTCCTACCCTTCTCAGTCCATAGTCACCACATCCTAGTTAGCTTCTGGTCCTCCAGTTTGGCAGAACCGACCTAACTACTGAAGCCACCCAAAACTATCAGTCATGTCCCTCCGAACAGATGGACGGATCAGTCCTCAATCCTCTCAGCCGCGATGACGGCAGGGCGGGGGCGGGGGCGGGGGCGGCCAGCTGACCGAGCCTCGGACAGGTGGACCGTGTCCAATGGTCCGGTACGGAACGACTTTCGCCAGTAAATTCTGCCGGCCGACCGGCACTGAAGGCCAACTCCGGGTTCATGCAGCACGCCCTTTCGGCGCCGCTACGAGGAAAAGTGGACCAATTTCCGAGCCTCATCCCACCAATCATGCATTTCGCACTCTAATTCAGCATGATTCACGGTTGCTAAATTACAGTGAGGCTGATTCACAATTAACGCCGATTTCTCTATTCATTTCAATTTCATATCTACTTAAATCACGTCTATACGCATTCGATCCTCGTCTCAGCGAGCTCCTCCAACATAAGGCTCCAGTCGACTGAAGAGTCAGTCCAACTGACGCCGATTCTTCCTCTCGGCTCGGCGGAGGAGCCGGCGCCTCTCCACCCCGTCGGTGGCCACCGATCGGCGGCAGAGATCACACCGCGCCACCGACGCGACGATAATTTGCCAGCTTTAATCTGGCCGTTTTTCGGAGGCGGCCGCTCCATAAAGCCACCATTAGCCGGCGTATCGGAGCCGTAAATTGCCGGTGTCGACGCGCGGACCGATCGCGGACGCTCGGCGCCGCCCGTCCGTCGCCGATCGACGCCGATACTGGCACGCGTAAATTCACACCGGATCAGCACGCGTGGCTGCCGCCGGACCGGACGTTGAGCGGCGCCCGTCGAGCGGCGGCCGACGGGCCGGCGCCGTCCGGCCGCCGTAAACCGCTCGGCGCCGGAGTCGACGCGTCGTTTCCACGCGGGCCGGCCGCCGGCGCCGCGGTCGCGATGCCTTTTCTATGCCTTCCACGTCAAAACAGCGGCGCCGATGCCGGGCGCGGCGCGGCGACCGGCCCGGATTCGGCGATTTAGGGGCAGTTGGAGCGGCGGCGGCGGGCCTATCCCAACGGCAGCGCGCTTGGTCGACCACCGGCGGAACGGCCGGGGCGGGGCGGCGGCGGCGGCGGCCGTGCGACGATGGAGACGCAGCCAGGCGAGCCACGCGCCACTAAGTGGACTGGAAGTTATGTCCGAGACGCAGGCGGCACTGCTGATTTAGCGCACGGCCATAACGGCCCAAACGGCAAATTATTACCATAATTGTCCACGGGGCGGCAGCTAAACAGCAGTAGTCAGCACCCAGCATCGACTACATTATACATTCATAATCGGCGCGCGCGAGACAAAAGTGTGGTGCGGCGGCGTCGGGTTGGACCACTAACGGGCTCCGTGGCCAACTAGCGGGCGCTGAGGTGTGGCCATTAGCGAGCGGAGCCGAGGGAGACTGAATTTCCAGTGCAGGCCGTGCTCGGTAAGCACAACACATACAGCACGCGTCGGAGAATCGCCTGCAAATGATCCTGGAGACCATTCGCCAATCTCAGTGCAGTAGCTACGGCTCATTGCTCAGTTACGACCGGATACCTGTATTAAACAGGAGAGGCAGCCACGGAGTCCTCCGTTAGTTATGGTAAGCCATCATGCCAGGGGAACGCCAGAAACAACAGCCATAAATACAGATTACAGCGCCTAGAAAAACACCGATATTTGAAATATATTGACAGGTTACGAATCACTTGATACCAACATCAAGCCGGAGAAGATTTAATGAATAAATAATGTCACAAAGATACCATCTATCCGTTCAAAATGATCCAAAAGATAGCGCTAACATGGTGCATATTTCGTTTCCTAGCTGCTCGGGCCCTAATATCAGGCTCAGAGCCTGTTACGAGAGCTCTTATCTACACCCACCCACCGACACTCGCCTAATCGTATGACGATATGACTTACGTATTTGCGACCGCAGAAGAAACAAGTAATGTACCTATGCGTTGAACCAATACGTAGGTAGTTATTCATCGTCTTATTTTTATTCCATTTTGGATTTAACTTAAAAATAATTCTACAGGAAGCCGTAATTATTCTGCAGTTAACGCTCATTTACGGGACAACTACCCAAGCAATCACCCATGCAGCACCAGATAAATGCCATTATTTTGTATTTTATTCTCGCCAACAATTTCAGAATAGCAGCCGGCAGGTCCCAATAAAATGCTAAACAAATGCTTGCAGTCGATTGATTATTGCCGAAGGGCTTCACAAATATCGCTTGAGTAACTCGATATCCGCGAGCATTTATTTATATCCCTGCTGAGCAGAGCATCTTTCTCACATCTTCAAAACACACAAAAACCGTGGCCGGTTTATTTATAGCTGGCGCGCAACCCGACGGCAGTGCAGGGCGCGTCGGGTGCGCGCGCGCTGCGAACGGGTCTCTGCAAGGCGGCTCTCTGCGCCTCGAGCCCTCAAAATACCAGCCTGCAGCACATCGCGCTGGCAATTAGCCGTAATGAGCGCCGCGCCGGCCGGGCCGCGCCGGCGACACGGGCCGAAGTGGCGACGGCGGCCGCATCGGTGACGACGCCGGCCGGGGGGAGGACGGCGCGCCGGGATTACGGCCCGATCCGACGGCACACCGTGCCGCGCCGGAACCAGCAATAGCTCGGAACAAACTGCCGCCGGCGCGGGAGGCGCCGATTTATGGTGAGCGCCTTCCGCGCGGCCGGGCGACGCGGAGCGGCCCGCCGGCCGCCGCGCACCGGCCGCTCCGCCGCCGGCCGTAAAATTTACATCTGAATCCGGCCGGCGGCGATGAAAGGGTGGCGGCAAATGCTGTCGTATTTGTTACCGATGTCGCCCGGTCGCCGGAGTGCCGCGGAGAGGGAGGGTGGAGGGTGGGGGCGGAGACGGCCTCACGGCTGAGCCGCCGCCAAACCGAGCGGACGCATACTACTCGGGGCGACAAATGGAGTCGGACGGTCGGCAGTGACACGGCGCCGGTAAACACACCGTGAATACGTGGGCACGACACCCAGCGGCCGGGCAGCTCACGGACTCGCGCTTTTCATGGTCTCACGGGAAACGGAGCTCGGTTTGGAGCACTTTCAGCAGCAGCAGCTGAGCGGGTGGGAACCGGCTACAGCCTGAGCCAGACCTGTGTCGAGTTATTTTGGACAATATCCACCCCAAGGCTCGCGCTGAGCCACTGATCCACCGGCTCGCTTCAGACAGGTGAGCAGCTGAGCCGCCGTGTGGCCACCAGCGGCAGGCGGGCGGCGGGCGGCCTTGTGGCACGTGTAAGGCCGCGGATAACGGAGCCGACTGGTGCGTCATCAGTCTGCCTTCACCCCGTCGTGCCGGCCGGCCGGCCGTCTGGGAGGGCTGCGACGGACAGCATCACCCACAACCCAATACCGCAACCGGGACTGCAGTCCCCATACCGGTCCTACATTAGTCGGCTTAGTTTTCGTCTCCTACACAAGTAGACACTCTCCAAGTCCCTGTCCCACACCACCGGTCGCCAGTCCTGATCAGTCCCAATCCCACATTGAGTCAGTCAGTCTATTTCCAACCCCTGGTCTACTCAGTTCCAATGGCGGGTCAGCGCTGAATCCCAATCCAGTTAGAGTCCGCTGATCGACTCAGTCCCCGTCCCCATCCCCTCCCCGGTCATTCATCACACTCACCGGGCCGGTGCACGTAGTTGGCCAGGTAGAGGTCGAGCTCGCGCACCGAGATGTTGATGTGGTACGGGTTGACGCACAGCTGCGGGTGCATGCAGTCGGGCGACTTCTCCAGCCGCTCGCCGTCCGTCGACTCGAGGGGGATCGCCTTGAAGAGGATCACCATGACCAGGTCCAGCCGCCATACCTGTGGACAATCGGCAGTGATCGTTGAGCGGTGTTCAGCACGAAGCCTGTGATATTACTGATTGGCTTCGGAAGTGTGTGTACAGAAAAAAATCGACGCTACACCCTTGAAATTGTCCGTATAGTTAAACGAGTAAGATCGCCCGAGATGGTAGCGTATCGCCGCTGATAGGGCTGGCCCAGTGGGACTCGCGCGGAAGACTGAGAACCCTCATTCCCAAAGCCGGACCATCATCCCGGGAAGCCTCCCATACTTCGACCGATCACCCCTAACAGCCTTCCGCCTCCCTCCGCCGCCCTCACCGAGCACAGCTGGCGGTGCGACCATAACCGTGCCCCGCCAGCTGCGTTCCGCCCATCCCCGCCGGTTACCTACCTTGTCCGCCTGCCTCAGGCAGTCAATGCGGCGCATCTTGCCCTTCTGGTCGGGGTTGGACAGCACGCACATGGCTGGCTTTTTACCTGTGGGTGGGAGAGGGTCGGTCAGGGGTGGCGACCCACCAGCACAAGGTGGCTGGTCTAGATAGGACAGAAGTCGACTGCCCCGTGCCGAGAAATACGCTTAGTGGTGTGCAGCTAGCATGCATCGCGATAAATTTGATCAATCATAACATATAAAACGTTGCAATGCAAAAGTATCCACTGTAATTTAATCAATTGCGATTAATTGTAAGGCGTCTACTTTATATTATAGCCGTTTCAATATCATTTGATAACTATGAATTTCGTACCTATATAACTGCAGGAGAAACCATAAGCAGACAACAATCCAGGACGTGCACACGATCACACGTTATCGTCTCCAGACTCACCGGTGACGGAGAGAACAAAGTCCTCGCGGCACTCCTGGGTGATGTCTTTCCGGAGTTTGCCGAGGAGCCGAGACGCCCACTTCTGCTTCACCTCGGCCTTCTCACTCTGTGGTGATGGTAAGCGGAGGGTTAAACTTTAGAACTCAGAACGGCCGGCCTACCGTACAGGACCCGGTTGGCCGCGGGCTCAAAGACGGGAGTAGACGAGCATCACCTACGCGAGACACACTCAGCCAGGGGCCGATATGTTGCACTGTGGCTAGGCTGACCAGTAACGGACTGAATGTGTGGGGAATGTCCATTCAAGGCAAATATTTGAGCATGTAGAAAATTAGGTCTCTTTAAGTAAATATGCAGCGCGTTCTAGCAACATTCATCTTGAGAAAGAAAAAATAATAATGACAGACCCACACCCTAATGAAATGATCTTTTTCACAGCGGGGTATTTTCATGAAGACCCACCTGCAGTTCTTCTTTACAGCGGCGTTCCTCTTCGAGACTCATTCGCTTCTCGTGCTTTTTGAAGTACTTGCGTTTGGCAGCCTGCAGATTGAACCATGTGTAGGAGAAGGCCTTGACGTGAGGCAGCAGCGCCTCGATGAACGGGTGAAACTCATCCTGAGAGACAGAGATAGGCCGCAGTCAAAGACGGTCACTCATGAAACATATGGAGAGGGAGACCGTGGTCACAGACGGATCAGACAGAGAGGAAGACCACAGTCAGACGGTCATACACGGCACGACACGATGGCGGGCGGGGGGGGGGGGTCATAGACGGCCACATGCGACACACACAGAGGCACAGCTAGTCTCAGTCCGGGGCGGTCACAGACGGCAATGACGGGGAGTAGAGGACGTGGCTACCGACGACAAAGACACCGAATCGGCCTGGAAGACGACCCCACCTGTCCTGAGTGCGGGCTGGAGGATGAGACACTAACTCACCTCCTGACCGACTGCCCCGCCCGAGCAGAGGTGAGACGAAGGATATTCGGAGAAGACGAGCCGGAGATGAGGGAAGCACTGGGAGACCCGAAGAAGCTGGTGGAGCTCCTGAGGCGGCTGGGCCGCCTGTGAGGCGTCCCCCCGTATGGCTTCCAGCCAAGGGCCGGAAGCACTTCAACTTCAACGACAAAGACAAGGAGCGGAGTCGCGGTACGGTCAGTGAGATACGGAGTGGAACCGCGGTTACATACGGCACAGCCACAGACAGGGAGCGACAGGGAGATGGGTCAGATAGGGAGTAGAAGACAGGGAAATGGGTCCAACACTGAGTGGACAGAGAAATAGGTGTCTATTGGTGTCTATTCAGGATACAAGTTATATCGTCTTTTCCCGTGTCGGTAGTTTCCTAGCGCTACGAGTTATGATTCTGATTTGACGGCGGTTCTCCCATCAAACTATTCTCAGACGACTACAAAACAAAACGAAGAAACAAATAAGGGGGCTAGTCAGGGAGTCAGCAAAGCACTGCTTTTCACGAAGCATCTTGCAGCTTGACACGGTTCATCACGAAACACCTCCCCACTCCCAGTCACTATGGACTGATGAAGTGGGTAACCGAGCAGTGCTGAACTGCTGAGCCTCCATTAAGAAACGACATTGGACTGGTGGAGCAGTTACTCAAAGAGCAACTGAAGAATAACAACTGATGAGCCAGCCATCGAAACAGCGCTGAGCTGATGGACTGAGCGGGCAGAAGTCAGCCACAATCCAGCCACAGGAGTTAGCCACAGAGTTATCCGTTTTGACAGAGGAGGACACGAGTAGACATGTGACCGACCGCTGGGCAGTGGGGAGTCCTGGTGGCTTAAAAGTCGGGCACAGTGCCGTCTGCAACCATAGCGAGTCGCGACTCTGTGGCGGAAAGTACGCAGGAGGTGTGGTCCCGGACCGGTCGGAAACGTAATTCACACCGCATCAGTAAAATATTTTGAACGGCATAACCAGCAGAAAATCGAAAGTCAGCCGAAGCAGCACTGCAAAAAGAAGATCTGACTAATCTCATTACTGGATACCTTGTCTGCTTCACCCATCCCAACTGATCGTCACCTTGAAATGTACGAGAAAGAAGCATAACGCATCGGTGGTTCTTGGCTCGGTGCGGCCTGTAAAAACGCCGACACAATACGGTTGCCAACGCATCTGTTTCACACGTCGGGGTGACTGGTAAACAGCGCAGGGTTCATCGAGACCCTCTGACGCATCGCAGTCCGCCCCCCAAACAGCCCAGACACGGAGAAAACGAAAAACAGTGCATCTCCGAAGACCAGCGATACAGCAAGCCCTTGGCGCGGGTGTGGGGCTGATAGAAGCGCATGGATTAACCGAAATAATGCTACATAGATATCATGGGAAAGAAATATCAAAATTGTCATTCTTACCAAACCGCGCTTGAGTCAACCAAGACTCAAGTTACTGTGCGTAGGTATTCGTATATCTAATGGCAGAAAAAACTGCACTTCCACTACGCCACGGCAAAAGTGAAAACATCCTAGCCAGTTTAGTGTGGCGCACATTGCACCGAATACCAGTTTGCTGGTGAATGAAGTCTCGGCCGTGACCACTGACCAGTCCGGCCTAGCGGCTCGGCGAAATCAGCTCGAGTGCCGCCTGTAAAGCGCCCGGCGTTGTAAGGAGCACCTACACCGATGGGAATAAGACCCGTTTGGACATCAGCCTTATTCGGCCAGACAGTAGCCTAGCGTGTCATGCACAGTCATTGGCTTTATCAAGTAAGCTACGGGAACGGTCCCACTATGTCGCGGGGCTAGGCACCAGCATTCAGTCGTTGACGGTCGGCCGTCAGCCGTATAGCATCCAGTCTCGACCGACAGCAGTGCAGCCGTTCGGCCACCACGGTACAGTGAATGTTGTAGTACGCTCACAGCGCATCAATAATGCAGAACATTGGATGGCTCAAATACCGCTAATGCGGTGCGCTCCAACCAAACCTTATTAGGAGAGCGCGGGGGTAGTGTGGGCAGCCCTAGAGCAAATGCCGAACTGAGGAGTACCGATCTGACTCTTACAACTTCATTGCACACCAACTCGGGCACAGGACAGATCGGTGGAGACAGACCGCCGGTGTGCGGCGAGAGTGAAATAAAGGCAGAGTCGATCGCATCCGAAGAATGAATGCGATATGCCCACAAAGCGCATCCCTATGAATAGGAGACTTAAAAACCAACAATATACCGATAGATGAAAATGCAATAAACACTACGAGCTACCTGCAACGCAGGCAGCTTCGGCCCACATTTGTTCAAACCATCAGTTCATAACACCGATATGACACCCAATTTCGGGCCCACCATTTCCAAACGAAATGTTGCAAATTCAATTCGTGCCTCCGAGACGGGAGACCCATATCATTTTTTAAAGCAGAGGTGTGTGGGTGACCGCAGATCGCATCGGATCGGACACAGGTTTCGGGTACCCGAGGTCCTTGGTAACCGACCATCAGTATCTTGCAGACCGCACGGTCAGGGCGGACGAACCGCACCATCAACCACAGACAGAGCAGAGCTCGCTGACGTGCCGGTCTGGAACTGCCGCCACCTACCACCGAACTCTTGTCGCAGTCACCCACGGCCCAGAGTCTGTGCTCCGGACTATACTCCGGGCTATCCTCCGGGGCTATCCTCGGGGCAATCCTCCGGGGCTCCCCGGAGTAGGAGAACACGCCGGCGGCGGCACGGCGGTAACGCCGCTGGCCGCCTGTTTATCACACGTACGTACACAGGACGGCGCCGTTTGCATAACAAGTGGGTAACAATCACATCGCGGTGGTGGCCTGCGGTCGCGCCGCCGGCGGTCACGCTACCAACTGCAGGTCAGCCGCTTCATCACCGGCGGAGGCGCGGTGGTGAGCTCATCACAGACCGTGGTCCATCTCCTCCAGGGTCTCGCTAATCACATCAGCTTCGGCTATCCTCCTATCCTCTTTGGCGATTGGTTTCCTTACCACCTGAGCGGGTATCGGTGGCCCCATGAACGGTCGAGTCTCTGCAATCTCACCACTCACAGTAGCGGTGGTCTGACCCAAGTCTGACCATTCTTTGAATCCCGAAGTCACACTACCAGTCTAATCTCGATTATCGATGGTCTTCCCAGCATAGACCGAATCTCGGTGGTGGTCCCACCTCACTGAGTTGATCTCAGTGGTGGCCCTAGCAGCGGCAGAGTTTTTGTGGCGAGCTTATCACCGAGTGAGTCTCGGCAGTCATACAACAGATCGAGCCACCAGCCCGGTCTTAATCGCAACTCTATCCACATCATATTCACACAATGTAGACGGACACCCGGGTGGTGTTTCAGCGATGATAGCAGCACGCTGTTATTATACGTGTCAAATTGGGTTTCCATGGAGACGTCAATAAGCCTATTGCTCCAACACTACCACAAGGGTCCGCGATATGGAATAGCAGAGTGCTACTATCACCGGTGACACACCACCCTGGTCACTGCAATGTCGTCCCATGCCTCATCTACAGGGATGCTAAAATACCACGACGAAATAATCGGCTGATGTAATTTGACCAACGGCAGTACCATTGACATGCATCGGAAAACAAGGAACCACAGCCCGATTCCAGAGTAAGCCACAGACTGGTCTGAATCCAAATCAAGAGATATAAACTCGAAGCTTTGCCTGGAGGCCGACGTTTACTGGCACACTGGGCCCGGGGCCGGGGTGCGGCGGCGGAGAGCTGCAGCCGGCCGGCCGGCCGGCCACGGTCAGGTCAGCCGGCGGCGCGGCTGTACACACCGGTCGGACGGGTTGGCCACGGCAGAGTTCACGGCACCGCCGCCGGCCGCTTCCCGGTATACGGCCCAGTTTAGGGCGAACAGCCGCCCCTCCCGCCCCAGCCCCGCTCTGCCGTGAACGGCAGTCACGGGCGGCTGCAGGGTGGCTCCCCGGTCAGCCCTGTCCCCGTGGACGGCCGGTCAGCCGCGGGTGGCCCGACGCGCCGACGGCCGAACCCGACCCGCCGCCCTCCGCCGGACCAGCGCGCTCACTACTCACCCGTATCATGTTGAAGTTGCCGACCTGGCTCTGCAGCATGTTGGCCGGCAGCGTCATGGTGGTGGCGAAGAGAGCAGTCGGTCGGCGGCGTCACAAGTCTCACGGGCCGTCAGCGGCCACCCGGTACAGCCAGGTCGGGTCGGGTCAGGTCGCCGCCGGGTCGCCTCACGTGGTGGCCGTTGGCACGACTGCGAGTTGGCGGCGGCCGCGGGCACACGTCCCCGACCCAAACAGGCCCTGCTGCCAACTGGAGGCGGCCCGCCGGGCACGTGAGGCGTCCCAGCGGCCAACCAACGGCCGGCCCCTCGCCGTCAGCCACGTATTTTGGGCGGCCCGGCGCGCGGCGGCTGCGCCGGCGCACGTGCGACGCGCGCCTTGCACTGTCCGGGAGGCGGCGCGGGGACGGCCCCTGCCGAGCGGCGCCGCTCCCGGGGGTGCCGGCGGCCGTCCGTCCGTCCGTCCGGGCGCGCTCCCTGCTGGGCCGGTCACCCCGGTCACCGGGCCGGCGCGGTGCCCTGGTCACAGGCCGGTCCGCGCGCGCCCTGTCCGCCGCCCGCTGCCGGCCACTGTCAACTGGAGATGCGCGCCGGCCGCAGCCGCCGCCGCCGCTTTGTAAGGCGAGCTGGCCACGAGCTGCGGCCGCCGGCGGCGCGGCCAGCTCTCCAGCGCCGGGCCAGCTCCGGTGGGCCGCTGCCATTAACAGAACGTTGCACCGCCACTGGCCGCGCGAGCTGCTCCGTCCCATCAACATCCACAGAAATAGACGGAACTGGCCGACCCAGAGATGGAGATCGCGTCTCACACATGGACCATATATGGACTGATGAAGACAGTACGTCCGGACCGAAACGACTGGTTTATGTCGCCTTCTATGGCTCCGAGATCCACACATTACAAGCTCCAGTCTCACCCAAGACTTCTTGACATTTGACACAAAACGGAGATGCCTCCCAGAATATCAATCGTGTAATACATCCACAGACTATGCCAGCGGTGAACATCGGTTTAGCACGGTGCATAGCTTCAAGAAAAGTCACTGTGTGCTTAGCAAACACAATGATCAATAAAAGCCACCAGAGACCACTGTCAAATCAGGCTGGAGACCACCCGGGCTAGAACCACCCAGGGCACACCTGGGTAGGCTCGTACCGTGGGTCACCAGGTCAGACTACTCGTGCCCAGGCCATGGGTGGATCGTTTCTTAGTTCCCCGGGACCAGACTGCCGTCTATTTTCACTGGCTGAGTCATGGTGAACAGGCAATGCACACTGCACAGAGCACAGCCGAGACTGCTTGTGAGGCTGCTAAGCTAGTGACACATTTGACTCGGGTATAAATGGCTAAATAGCGGTAAAAAAGCCATCCAATGATACAAAAAATAGATGTCAGAGTAACCAGTCGATAGTTATCTTAGTTTGGTTATCAAAACAAAGTTGGAATACCGTTCCCTTGTCGGTACAAAAAAAGTTCACAAGTCGTAAGATTCCGGAAGAGTACTGCAATCAGGATTTCTACCTATATCCTCGTGGCAATCAACAGAAAACGAACGTCCAAATTAGCTTCAGACAACCGAGCTACCAAACCATGGAGATTCGGTTACACGTGAATCGTAAATAGTGACATTATAGGTTACAAGGATTTTCAAGATCGTTACAGAATCTAACGATTGGCTACCTTGCGGACGAGGTCTTTGCGTTTCCGTCCCAAAGTGTCAGCAAATGGGCGTTAGAACGGATAGATTTCCGCCTTTTCTTAACCCTCGCCGGCACAGGGGGGGGGGGATGCAACCCCCTAAGATTTTTCGCGAATAACTCGCGTAAAAAGCGGCCGATCGCGACGAAACTTTCAGTACCCTCGCATTGATCAATTTTACACCTACCCTGAAAATGTCATGACCCTGACCCAAATGACCTTTGACCTGTGACCTCTTTTCCGAGACCATGTTTGGCCGGAATCGCGAATCGGCGTATGTCGGCTCGCATTAGCCGCGCGTTTGCAAGCTTTCCGTGGTTTCAAACGTTCAAACATGTGATTTGATGTTGCTCCCATACATTAGGGTGGGTGTCAAGGTCACCTGAAGGTCAGGTAAGGTCATTGACCTTTGGTGACGTCGGGTGACCTTGGTTCACTTTTTCGAGTTTTACATGTTTCTAGGCTAGTTTTTGGAGCTGAATTCGAATTAAGCAACCATTTGAACATTTACGAAGTAGTTTTGGTGCCTTCGTAACATGTTACGAAGCTGTCAGAGGCGGTTGACACGTATTACGAATACCCGTCACAACCCCTACAAACTGACCTGACCTGACCCGACCTGGTCTAAATGCTAAAAGACATCATCTCTGATCAAAACTAATACGATATTCGTGATCAGCACCCCGGAAAACCACATAGCAGCCACACTTTACGATTTTCTAACAGGTCCCGATTTTCCCGGTTTTCGGGTCATTGACCTGACCTGGAAGGTCACCCGATGACCTAGGACCTTAATATTGGCTATCATCGGCTTCCTCTCGCGACGGGCAACACGCTCGTTTTTTCCGCGAAGCTCTAGCTCGATCAGGGGCCAAACGCGAGGGGGGTCGTACCAACCCCCCCCCCCCTGTGCCGTCGAAGGACGCAAAATGGCCTGTGCCGGCGAGGGTTAACGAATAGATTATTTTAGCAAGGAGACCTCATTCCCCACCACTACAAATTACACAGGTGCATTGCTGGGGGCCGGGGGGATTCCTGTGTTCTAGAAACAACGGACCAGCAGCGGTACAGCTACGGTGTACACGTCATCTTACCACTCCAACGGTAGTAATCGTAAAACCGCCGTACGGGGCACTACGGGCCTCAGAGGCCTCCTTTCTGGGCGGTGTGTCGTGCCTCACAGCCATCCAGCGGCCGTTGTGCACAAAAGCAGAGCTCGGCTGGCCTGCGCCGCCGGTTGTAGCTTGGAGGATCAGTATGGTGGCAAGGATAGACGCCGACCTGCAATGATGGTCGATGGGAGGACGGATGCCAGTCTCAATTGTGGAAGGGAGATCAGATTCATCTCCGTACAGAAACCAATATGTTGTGATTTTGAACAGGACGGCCGCTGGTCTGTAGACACTTATTTTGGGTTGTGAGCAGGACGAACGAAGTCGGTCCTAGCAATTGTAGAAGGGAGAAACGGCGCTGGTCCTGTACTAATTTTGACTGCGAGGGCAGCCATGGGGATCAGGATGGCCGTAACACACAAACTGCACCCTTCAGAAATAATCATGGGCTGATAGCTTGCACGAAAATATCTACTGCGTTACAGGATTTCTGCACGGGCTGCAGTCCTGCTGCCCATGACAGAGCAGAAGTCCAGTACGCCGACCGGACAGAGCTGAGGTCCTACCGACTGGACATAACTGAGTTTCGAGCTGACGTCCTCTGTCCTCCTCGGCCTTGTCCGGTACTCCAGGACAGAGCCGCCGGTCCGGTGTTTCACTCCGTCCCAGGATCTCGGATCGGTCTCAGCGCCGTCCCAGAGGTGGCGACTGACACCCTTTCTGGCGGCGCGCGGTCCGGCGGCGGCGGTCGCCCACCGACCGGCCGATCGGGGTCAGTGCGCCGCGCGCGGCCGGCCGGGAGCGGCGACCCGTCCTCGCTCGGACCGCTGCCTGACCTTGCCGCTAGATTCCGATCAAGTTCGAGGCGGCCACCTCACGGTCACCGCTGTTTACGCCCGGACACCGCCGCCAATGGCCGCCCGCAGCCGATGTGACGTCACACCGTCGTGACGTCGTCACGGCTACGGGTCGCCGGCCCCGGAGCGCTCGGTTGACCTGGACACGCCCCGACATCGGCCCCTGTGGCTTACTTCCTGAGGAAGATAAGGAGGCCTGTCGCTGGGTCACCGCCTCCGCTGGCAACGGCCGCAGCCGCGAACACCGCACGACGGCGGACACACTCCGGCGTGCCGCTTGCCGTGGGGACCCGTGCCACCAGTGATCGACGGCACGAGCGGCACGGTCATTTGAGGGGGTGGCGGGGGTGATCACCGGCTGGACCGCACCCCTGCGGTTAGCACCGGGCCCATGGAGCGGCGCCGGTCGGTCGGCCGGGCCGGTAGCGGCCTGTGACGTCAGCACAGGCGACCTCGCTGGGCCGGCCGGAGGTCAGCGCTCGCCGGCCTTCCCGACACACTGGGCCGCCGCGCCGGCCGGCCCACTGCACGGCACGGTACGTGACTGCAATGCCGGAGAGGCGAGCGGTCGGCGGAGCTCCGGCCGCAGCCACCACAGCTACTACGACTGTGTTTGCTAATAACAAACACCGCACCGGCAAACAATGCCGAGCCCCTGAACGATGTGTATAGGCAATGATGGAAGTCTACCAGTCCCACCTCACGGCACTGTGTATCGGTAATAATAACCATGAAAACACCACAGGATTCCCCTGTGTACCAGTCACAATACCACACTACAAGACTCCCAAACAGCATCAGTGTATGGCAAAAATGCCACGCTTCTATTGCCACCAACGACTTCTCCGGTGTATCATTCACAACACCACGCTACAAGAAATAAGAATGACCACAGACATCAGTTGTGTTATTAGCAGCAATGTCGTGCTTCTAGTGCCACTGCCGGCTTCTTCTGTGCATCGGTAACAGCGAGATGAAAGTGCCACCGCTAATCTCTTACCATCATGTGTGAAAAATGCCATATGAGGAGCTTGTGCTGCTCCCGATCGACCCGGTATGCATGGGACTTGGCCGCCCTCACCCTGACCACGCTGCCGTACTCTAAAATGGAGCAAAATAATGCCGATTATTGGTTTTTCAGTGACCAAGGCACATACAGACTCGGGCAGACTTAACTGCCCTCTTCCCCGTCAAATATATGTCACTTCTGATATGCCAATGGGGCAATATAAGTAAATAGCAAGACAGGCTCATCCGTCAATAATAATCAGCAGGCCTTAATTCTGGCAGACGAAAACAATCGAGACTCCTTCACTCATGAGGCAGTTCAAAAATACCAACTACAAGAATCTCCTAGACGGGGATTATTTGGCCTTACTTGTGAATAGCTCCAAGACCCAAGAGTCAGGGCTCGAGGTAACCTAAGAACGTACCTACTTTCACGACTCGGGCGACACGGAGACTATGACCGCCGCGCTGTGACCCGTGCTTTCTCACAGTACAGGCCTTGCAGCCTTCACAGGGTTGACGTTGTGAGTCCGGCAGATTTATTGTCGGCTTAGCGGGCATCTGATGGGTCTGAATTCCCAGAAGCTTTATCCGGTGGAGTCGCGACATGCTTCTGAGACGAATGTTCTTGCCCGGCGGATCAGAAGTCCATTAGACCGTCCTTCCCAGTTATCATGCATATTGATTACCTATGAGGGCGTCTGTGCCACCGGGGAGAATATGTAATCTTGGCATCATGAATACAGCAGCTAGCAATATTTTCAAGAAAGGGTAGTAGCAATGGATCGAGTCAGTTCCATCAATGTGACTAAGAGAAATATAAATTTAGGAAATCCGAAGAGTCGCGAGGAAATCGCCAAACTAGCCTAGACTAGGACTTCAGCGATAAG